ATTTATACGTACAGGTTGCCATTTCCATTTTATATGCCAGCTCAAAGTCAGACAATCAATGATGTCCTATTGTTATTGCTCATATAATATCTCACATACCATGGATATATCTTGAGAATAACTTTTGGTTATATTATTGCCGAAATATCGGAAATAATCAACAGAACAACCAAACTCCAGAATTAAAACACAATCGATTCCTCAACTAGCGAGGGGAATCCCCATTGAGTCACACAAGCGCCCACAAGCGCGTTGAAACAGACAGCCAATCAGGTTTATGATAAACAAATTCAACGACCAATCAGATAACAGGAGGACTTTCCCGGAATATTCAAACTTCAGATTGAATTAATTTCTTCGAAAATAATTAGATCGGCCAGCACAATCGCAAAATTAACACTGAAAGAGGGGGATTTGGGACTTCTTCTTTGGTAAGTAGATGGGTATTCATGTGGTGAAACTCAATATGCAAAAAATTACAGAGGGGTGTTGATTGTGCTTTCCTATGGCATAGTGCCTCTTTAAGACTCATTTTTAAACTATGCACAAACCATGCTCAAATTGACATCTCCTAATATCTTTTCTATTGAGCTGCAATCAACAGTAAATACATACAGAAAAACTGTTTATCCCATACTTGGACGTGTTACAGGTACATAAAGCAGGTTTGTAAAAACTTATATTTTCATCAGCGGGCAGATATAGCTTTACGTCCCGCTCCAAGCGGGCAGATATAGTATAGCTGCCCGCTACATCATAATCGCCGTTCGCATATTGGTTCAATTTTTGTAACGTTCGCATAATAACTGTAAACGACAATGGAGAAAAACGCAGACAATCGCGATGTGTTTGATGGTTTAAAGTCGGGAAGGATGAATATCTGAAAGAACGGGAAAACCCGGCGATGAACTGAACATGAATATTCTAAAATATTTCCACTGTACGTTGAACTTCCAGAACTGTGAGATGACCAAGATTGGTATGGGATAAACAGATCATCCCATACTCTGTTCAGGATATAGAGATTATCCCTTGGCAAATATAATATATCTGCCCTCGAGACCTACAGCGCTCAGGCAGATATATTATATTAGCCTCGCTAATCCAAATATTCTGAACCTCATATAGGATAATCTCTATTCATCCAATGGTTACAAGGATATATATCGAATATCAGGTGAAGAAATATTTGATAAGTGGATCAAAATGTCATATTTTAGCAAAAAATCCCCAAACCATCGATATCACTTTTCAAACCATGGAATATCACTTATCAAAAAGTGATATTCGATGGTATTAAAAGTGATATTCGAAGGTTTTGATTTTTTTCAATAATTTTTGGTGAAAATTTTTTCTAACTTTTTTTTCAAGATTTTCTTAAAAAAATTGTACCATAGGATATTCCTATAATATCTGAACAGCTCTCTAATCTGAATGCTTTTATCAGGTCTCATTTGTTTATGACATAGACTTCTATTTCATAAAACTTAAAATGTGAATACCTACCAATCTTAACACTAACTGGTCCCAGTAGCATTTGGATTGGTCAAGTTTTACTGTACTCTAAAATCAACATTATAGTACATATCCATCAAAGTTAATGGCATTTCATGTCAAAAGGTATATTTAGGTATTAGAACTTGGGTGAAGGAATCGTGTTACCCAGATGGAACCCTATGCCCTCTTGTCCATCCCACTAAGAGTATATTTGCAGGTGAAACAAAACTAGAGGGAGGCCATTTCACATCTGCAGTACTATATTTGTTTTACTTGAAAATTAATGCTTATCTGAAATAAAGCCATTATATTTCTGAGTATAATGTACACATAATCAAAACATGTGCATGTGAATATTTAGATGAACTTTTATGGATTGCTCATTTTCTCTCTTTGCAAGTAATGGCAATCAGGACAATTGTCAACATCACCTTCAAAAAGGTATGTTATGTTTATAAATAACTGTATTCAGTGTTTTTTTAAATTCTGTTTTATAGTTAATTTTAATGATAAAAGAAAACAATGACATAGGCTTTAAGACATATCTAAATGTATTAACTATTATTGTAGAATTATGTAATATGGACTTAACAAAAGAAAAATGAAATATGCATGAATAAGGGGTATAGCATCATATAATAATCATGTAAATCTTTAACTATCAACAGTTTCTATTGTAAAAAAACTATTTAAGAAATATAGCCTTACAACAAAGTGGTGCATGTTTAAGAGCACTTCATGATAAGTAAAATATTGGTTTAAATTCAATACAAATAAATGTTGACAATTTCAAGTGACCAAAATTCATTGTTTTTGAACTTTATTTAGTATACTTTAGTAAAATCTAAAGGTTATTAAACATTGTTTCCCTTCAATATAAAATGGAGCGTTAATACATATTTCAGTCTACTTCTACCTACAAATGTGGGTTTCTATGAATGACTGTCATTGGCTGTAGTTTTGTTATATTGCAAAATCTAAACAATACACATTTAATTTATACTTTCCAGTCTCACTTTTAGATTTCGAATTGACCTCCATGTGTAAACCCATATCAGTGATTCCAGCATATGGTGTTCATTTTGCTATAAAGATGAATTTATACTATATGTGACAAGTATGTACATGTATTATTCAATTAATCTATTCTATTTGACGAGAATATCAACGATAAAATTGGGACTAGGAAATATTTAAGAAAGTAATAAGTAAAAATCAAAATGCACAAGATTGCAAGGCAAAAAAATGTCCCCAACCTTTGAGGAAAATAATCCAAAACAACCTCAAACTGAAAAACAGCAACTCCACGGAGTACCTAAGGTAGGGCTGGAAAATAACATTTCGGTAAAAAATTGCCATACCTGCACATTTTATTTTCTGGTACATTATAAAGTATGAAGGCATGTGTTAATTATCCTTGCTTTTTTCAGAAAAGTATCATTACATTGTCTTCTTTTAGTATATCTGGTAAGACAGACTTGCCAACCTAAAATGAAAAATTTCCGGGAGATTTAAAAAAAATTGCGGTACTTTTACGGGAGTTTTTTTCAAAATCCGGTAGTTTTTGTAGTTTAGTACTTTTAAGTTATTTATGAAAGTATCGATAGTGAACCATGGGAGCCAATCCTTCTTGGAGTAAAAGAAAGAAGCGTGCCTGCAATAATCAAGTCACAAATTTGTCAAATTCCTTTTAAATACGGTAGATTTCGACAGCAAAAAATGGAGATTTTACGGGAGATATACCAAGAATACAGGAGATTTTACGGGAGTTATACCAGAAAACGGGAAATTTTACGGGAGTTATACCAAGAATATGGGAGATTTTACGGGAGTTATACCAGAATATGGGAGATTTTACGGCCATATTTTTTAAAAAAATTACCGGAGATTTTAGTAGAAATACGGTACGGGAGTTTACGGGAGTTTTTAAGGGAGAAAACGGAACGGGAGTTTGGTATTTTTCAAGGAAAAACAAAAAATTTAAGGGAGATTCCCGTAAAAAAAGGGGGGTTGGCAAGTCTGTAAGAGGTCAATGGGAACTCCAGGAAATTCTGATATTTCACAATTTCTATTTTTCTAAATTTTCTTTCAAAGTTTCCAGACAACACAGGAGCTACCATTGATCTGTTTCCAGGTTTACTAAAAGTAGACTATGTAATGATACTTTCCTGAAAAAAGCATGGAAACATACACATGCCTTCATACTTAATTTTGTACAAGAAAATAACATGTGCAGGTATAGCAATTTTTTACCAAAATGTTACTTTCCAGCTGAAGCTTAAATGCCAAAGGATTACTACAAAAACAATGGTCAAGGTCATGACATTATGTCCCAAAATATTTTGCAGTCATACAGGTTAAGACCCAGTGATTTCATTAACGGCGTCCTTCAATGGAGAGGACATAAATCAAGATTGGGTGGATGTAAATTTTAAAAAAAAAATTACGTTTTTGGGACGCAATTTGAATTTCGTAAATCACTTCGTGAATCCACTAAATAATTGAAGGAAATTCTATTTCTAAAAGAAATAAAATTTTCTTTCGAAGTACGAGGCATGTGATAGGACAAATAGTTATCCAATACTCGATATTCGAGCAGTAATCAGTACGAGTCTTACGATTGGCCACACTGAAGACCCAATTTAAACCATTTTCTATTGGTCAAGTGTGATCACAAGATCATTATTTAAGAATGCGCATGCACAAGAAACTGAACCAAAAAATTGAACCTCGCACAGATTGCCCCTAAACTAAAGCAAAATCAGTAGCTTATTGCTTTGAAATACGCATAGAAAATGTGTTTCTAATGGTTGAATATAAGTTATACCTCACAAGTGATGGTATCTGTCTCATTCAATGACATACTAGCCTCGCCATAACACTGATTTAAACCGATTAATAGCAAAAGCGATACAAAATTTCATCAATTTTATTTTGGTTAGTGTAAAAGCGTGACTGAATTCCCGGGAACATTTTTTCAAGGGACACAGGTTTTTGAGCGGAGACGTATTTTTTGAAAATCGTTACGTCCCAGGGACGCAATCTTGGACAAACCTACTGAAAACACTGACAGTACCCTAAATGATATAGGAAAATATAATTCATACCTCAAGCTTGCTATTCTGGCCAGAAAATACTGCACATGAAAAACCTTCAGTTGGGGACAAAAATAAATGACAGGTCGATTTTCGATCACCATTTCCTAATTATGGTCGTCTGAAAGCCCATAATTTCCAATATTGTCTAGATACATATCCCTTAAAATTTGTATATTTCACATTTTGTATAATCTCATCCACTGATGTATGGCCTCTTGAAAATTCTCTTATTTTTAACATGGGAAATTCTCACTTCAGCAAATCCACCTGTCATTTATTTATGTCCCGAACTGTATGTAAAATTCGTCTTGAAGCGAAGTGCCTTATTTCGCGATTGTGTACAAAAAATACTGTCATTGTTAAAATCTTAATTTTCAGAGTATGTACTTCAAAATTCCAACTCACCTTTACTTTCTAAATATGCTCTGCTGAGTCTTGCGGAATGTGTGCGCTCAAATTCATAGTTGAGCGAATCGCTGCGTCCCAGAAATGCCTCAGACATGCTTGAGCATTCAGTGAATGTATCACTGTCAAAACTGTCTCTCTGTGGTCCATGCCACCTGTCGTATATCTCAAATAACAAACCATCCATAATAGATTGTCCAGTGTCCGATTCATAATTGTTATCTGAGTTTGAAACTTCATTTGCAACTGCTAATTCATCAAATTGAAATTCATCACAAGATTTCAAACTAACAGCTTTCCCTTCAAACGTTTTTGTTTTCGATGCATTTCGCAAATTTGCAAAATCTGAATCATTGTTGTTGTCATTATTGGATAATATTTCGTCATCTGAATCGGATAAATGTGGGATTTGCCACTGATTTTGGATACGTGACCGCTTCCTATTCATCTTGCCATGTTGGCTAATGTTTTTAGTTATCAGGACAAGACTGTTGCAAATATTCTAAATATAATATATCATCAATTTTTCTAATATAAAAATAATATTATTGTGATTTATCCTTCAATCCGATGAGTAATGAATATCTGAATGTATCATTTCCCTATATATTTTGATAAGACTATGACTGAAGCTTGATTTTTGAAAAAACAAATTATAATATTGAGCGTTTGATTTTCCTGGAAAGTTATCTCGCCACCTATCGATCAATTAAATGTTTAAAACTTTTGGACACCTGTCATTCTGTTTATTATTGTTTTGTGATGTGTTTCAGTATTCCACCACTTTTATGACAGCATATGTGTATTTTTAATCAAATGAAATTCAAGAATTTGAGAAATGTAGAGAATATGATCTCTGATTCAATGAATACTCAGAATCCTCAACTCGTATTTGAAAATAATTCATAAATAAAGACAAGATGACAGCCCAAGGAGGATTGGCTCCCAGGATCGAAACTCGATATTTTCCAACAATGAAAACGTCGAAATGTCGTTATTTTCTGAAATTTAAACCGACTATAAATTCAAAATAAACAGTTCAAAAGATTCGAACCAATATCTCGATCATTTCTTGTGAGTTTTGGAATTTTTCGTTTGGAAATAAGACCAAAATTCACGATTTAAATGTTGAAGTGAACAAAATGGCGGCTGTTTGAATTCGAATTTTGTATTACGACATACCCATATATGGGACAGAATATCGGTGGTGCACTCTGGGAGCCCAAGGAGGATTGGCTCCCAGAGTGCACCACCGATATTCTGTCCCATATATGGTAGCGTGACCTTTGACCTTGTTGACACGTGACAGGTTTCTTTAGCACGGAAGCCATTTTGAAACCTGTGAGGTCAAAGGTCACCGCTACCATATATGGGACAGAATATCGGTGGTGCATTCTGGGAGCCAATCCTCCTTGCTGGGAGCCAATCCTCCTTGATGACAGCCGGAAATAAATCCACACATGCGCAGATAATCCACGTTGAAAAAAACCCAGGTTACATTTTTAAAAGGTTTGAGCCAAATACTGCAGCAATGGTGCTCGATATAGAATTATTTCGTGCGGAAAAGGGAGGTGATCCTGTAAAGATGAGGGAAAACCAAGCAAAACGTTTCAAAGATGTAACGTTAGTGGATAAAGTGGTAGAGGCTGATCAACTATGGAGAAAATGTGAGTAAAATTTTCCACAAGAATAGGCCAAGATGATGAAATCTTTGGAAATATTAACCATAGGAACTTACTCCAGTCGAGAGCTACTTAGATTTTGAAAGTATAGCTCTCTATCGCTAGAATCAACAGCTTAAGAATCCTGACTTCAAAGAAAATTTCAGCACAGTCAGAGAGAATGTTTCTGGCGAAAGGAGCTTCTGGGATTTTAAATTTATGAAGTTGGGAAACCAGAAGGGCTTACCTTTTTCAATTCCCGAATCTCTCCGAAATTAGCTCATCTTGGTGACTGTAAATTGCACAGCTGTATTCAATGGAGTCTTGTCATATTCGATCAGCCTCAATTTTAAAATGTATATTTTATTTTCAACGTGATTTCATCGTTTTTTGTCGACTGGTAAGAAAACGCCGGGCAAATGGCAAGATAGACGACTTTTGACCTGACCTTGACCACGTCATCAATATTACCAAGATGGCGGTTTCAAAATTTTCTAAAATCGCTTCAAATAATATTATGTTAATTCCTAGCGAGTAAAGATATCTCTTAGTTTGCTATTTCACAATAAGATAACGAAATGTGTAAGGAATTCGTATTTATCAATTAAAACATCACATCGACATTTGGTATTCGTAAACTAGACGATGAAGATAACGACCTCGAAAAAAAACAAAAGAGCGAGTACGGGATTCGAACCCGGGCCTCCAGCGTGCTAAGCGAGGATTCTCCCCCTAGACCACCGTTATATTACATATGATGTTGGGAATTAAACGCTACTTATTTTGAATGCTATGATTCGGAAGTGACGTCACGTTCTTCACGTTTTGTTTGAGAGCGAGAACGAGACGTGCCAGAAGCCCGGCTTTTTTGTCAGTCGACCTGTTCAAAGTACATTTAGTTATAATTATCGCTTTTCAGAACAATTTAGGAAACAATATTTTCTATCTACGTCGATTACAAAGCATCTAAGGTACGTAAATTTATATGAACAACTGAGTCAATAGGGATAAATAGCCCAACGAGAGTCGGCGGTCTTAAAAAATACTTGGATCTGGATGGATCTTCAGCTGACTCATGTTGCACATTATATACCTGAAAATGTATCCTACATCGCCATCTTTCATTCAGCTCAACTATAGAACGTCTCACTGCCCTATGTATCGATCAGGACTTCATTTTATTGGTCGTGTCAAAAGTTTTGGCCAGGTATATTCAATATGGCGGCTTGACGTTTCCCAAGTTGCGCATGCGTCGATAGTATTTCCGTTTAACCGCCATATTGGAAATGGGTATCGAACAAAAAACGATTAGAACTCCTGATCGCCATAGAAGCACATCCAAGATCCTACATGCACGGGGAAAGTAGACACATATGAGCCCATATGTAGGCTACAGTTTGAGACAAACAGCAAGCCGCTGACTGGCGCTGATCAAATTTAGATGTCGCAATTCTTCAGCTGGGAGATCCTCACGATGGAGAGCTATACTTTCAAAATCTAACATGGTAGCTCTCGACGTGAGTAAATAGGAACATGTTCAACTTGGGAGAATTATCTACGCCTCTTATACTTAAGACACCTACTTCAATAGATTCCTTGGTATTTTAGCATTCTTTTCTTGTAGTTGAATCCACAATTGACTGGGTTTATCGGCAGAACGAAGAAATTTTCTTTTTTGATTGTAATGTTTGCGTGTAATATTTAACTTATTTCAACTGTCAACTTCCTCCATTTATTGGTACTTCCGGGCTATTTCCGGGACAGTCAAACAGGGAATCCCCTTTTAAATCCAACCACCATCTTGAAAAGTGATAGAATCTCTCTTGATGAAAAAGAAAAATGTTCCTGTTCTGCCAATATACCCAGACAATCCAGGGTTCGTACACACCTGGAAATGTCAGGGAAATTGATTTATTTTTCCAGGTGCTGGAAATGTCAGGGAATCTCAAAATTGGGTCAAAAAGGGCCAAAAATGTCAGGGAATTTTGAAACAGTAGATGTGTCATGGAAATGTCAGGGAATTTTGTATCATTGTTGAAAAAATAATGTTCCAGCAAAAGTTAACAGGAAATGACGAAACAGGAAGTGACAAATTGACTGGAGGAAACTGATGCGTAGGATGTAAATGGATTTTGACAGACACAAAAATACTTCCTGGTTTGGAATCTATGCCTCTACACTTCATGATTGATTTATGACCCTAATAAGTGGCCTATACATCAATACAGTGCTGAATATAGGTCAACAAGATACTAGTGTGCATATAAATGTAATAATTGAAGCAGAATACTCATTTTGAAAAATTAGATGAATTATTTTTTTCCCATGGGCAGATCCCAATGGAGGGTGTATAAGGTCCTTTACACCAAACAGGCGTTACATGGCCAGGATCAAAATGGTCGTGGTCAAAATGACCCTTACCATGTGAATTTTAAAATTTTTTGAACTAAGATAACAGAGTTCTGCCTTCACCCAGTTTTACTACTCCTTTATATCATTTACAGGACCAGATGCCTTATTCACAAATTGAATGCGATTGCTATTGCTACGTCGCAATTTTGGTGCGAATATTCACAATGACGTGATATTTCAATCGCTTAAAGCAATCGCAATATGTTAGCAACAAAAATAAAAGGAAAAATAACATGTTTGAAATCACTATTATACGTTGAATAAATTACTCCCTGAAGGAATCACTTATTTCTTTAAAGGGGTTTACTGTGTATCAGATGTAACATATTGATGCAAGAATAATTGAAAATGCAGGGGTGGAAAGGGTTGAAAATCAGGACAACATTTCAGAAAAGACATGTGGGTGGGTTGTTTGCACCTACCCTGTCTCAAAGTCCAAATTATCTTATCATCAATTATAGTATTTTTTCCTGTAGGTAATGCATTGGCCTAACATATGCACCTGTTTAAATCCTCAGAAAACAGACAAAATCCAACATATGACTATTTGAAATCTGTTGCGATACTTTCCGTGCTCCTTTGTGTAAATGCTTGTTCAACTTTTCCATTTTTCCTAGTGTTGACTTCTGGGAAGGTGTTGGCCCAATCACGAAATAACATATTGACTCTTGAACTTTAATTTGGTGACATGTCAACCAACCATGTCTGATGTAAAAATGATTAGAATATTTTTCAAATGTTTTTCTGTCGTTTGAAGATGAGTTTAGGACAGTGCAGGGTAGAGGAGGATAGCTTGTTCTAAGATAGAAGAAACTGCATGATCTACAGTTGAACTATTGGTCTGAATGAAATACTACGGAGAAAGTTAAAATAGGCCATCTGTTATATTAGTCTACTAATAAAGTAGTTTTGTCGGTGATGCTTTATAATTTATACCAAAATATATATGAATAAACGCATGTACTCGTATAAATCATATAAACAATGTGAACAAACAATCAATTTTCACATATGTGATGAAAGTCTCAAACTGATAAGCATTTGGGGTAAAAAGTGGCCATTTTGGATTTTTTTGTACTAAATTCTTGCCTCTTCAACTGAATAGTGTTGGGCATTCAATTCTATAGTAGATCATAGGATCACCCATTGGTGGGAACATGTTGTACACATTTGAGTTGTTGTTTCTGATTTTCTATTTCATGCATTTGCAAGAGTGAATGAACTTCAACTTAAACTTCCTCCTGATTGTAAGCTAGCGTAGCTGTAGTAGACATTTTGAGTTGTTGTTTCTGATTTTCTATTTCATGCATTTGCAAGAGTGAATGAACTTCAACTTAAACTTCCTCCTGATTGTAAGCTAGCGTAGCTGTAGTAGACATTTTGAGTTGTTGTTTCTGATTTTCTATTTCATGCATTTGCAAGAGTGAATGAACTTCAACTTAAACTTCCTCCTGATTGTAAGCTAGCGTAGCTGTAGTAGACATTTTGAGTTGTTGTTTCTGATTTTCTATTTCATGCATTTGCAAGAGTGAATGAACTTCAACTTGAACTTCCTCCTGATTGTAAGCTAGCGTAGCTGTAGTAGACATTTTGAAATGCTAGCTGAATCACCGCCACAGAGTAAATGGAACACCTCTGCAACTTGAAATAGCCACATCTTTTGTGACATAAGAATTTCTGAGCATGCATAATCTAAAGATATCTACCATCACAACTGTCCAATCTGATACTGTCATTTCGTTGACCAATAGAATCACTCTGTATTGCTCACTTCGCATTTGTAAATATGTCACGAAGAGGTAAAAAATGACCTATGATTTTGATTTTTTGTCCATCTGGACAACATGCAATGCAACAGAGATGCATGCTATGAATGGACACATTTTGTTCAGGGAATATATGTTGTTGTTTGTTATATTTTCAGTGCGTTTCCAAGCAGATAATTGGAACAAGATTAAAAATTCCTGTAACAAAACTATTGGTGAGAAAATGAAGGTGAGTGATTTCATTGGTGTTATCATACTGTGTGTCTCACATTTATTTGATCGTAGTAGGCCTTAGTACATTAATATTAATTTACAACTAAAGTAAAGATACTAAATAAAATTAACATAACTGAAAATGAATGTGTTTTTCATAATAGAAGAAAGAAGCAGTGGGGGATAATGAGGAACTCCCAGCAGCTATCATAGATAATCTCTCTACTCTTACACCGGAATCTCTTCGGGTAAGACACTCTTATTTATTTAGAAACTCCATTCCTGATTTGTAGAAGTTAAAAGGTGGACCTTGTCCAATGTATTGTTGACCTCTTTTGTACACACAACTTGTAAGCTTGCATGTAACATGTTCACGATTACTAATTCTAATTCCCTTAATATATTGATTTTTTACATTACCATTTGTAGGAAACAGTAATAAGGTTCGACATTGTTAAAGCGAGTGGGCAATGCATCCATTTGAGATTTTGAAAATAGGTTTGCACCTGTCTGAAAATCCATTTGAAAATGAAGAAGAAAAAGTTGGATTATTTCACTATTTTTTGTTGTGGTAATGCTTTGTTTTGAATATATCATAACATTATAGGAGCTCACAGTAAAACAGATCAAAAAGATAGCAGGTTTGATTGATGCGGAGATCAAGCGGTGTAAAGAAGAGGATGTGAAAACTCAAACAGAACGAGATGAAACTCTGAAAGAAGTTGGAAATCTTCTACATGACTCTGTCCCTGTCAGCAATGATGAGGTAAGTAAATGCGACATGTGTCCTAAGGTTTATAGTAAAGTCTGCACTGTAAAGTCTTGTCTGAGTAAAAATACATATTGTTTTCTATTTAATAAAACTTTTATTAACAAAGAAAAAGCTTAAGTTGCTCATTTACAAACCACAGATATTTTAAGTCAACCAAAATATGTTTTGTTTTTATTTAATTATACTTTTCACCACCTTGACAACAGTGAAAATGTTTACCATTATATAACATGATAACAAGAAATGTTACTTCAGCAGTTTTTATATGCTTACATAATGTTCGGTCTTTAGGATGAAAACAGAGTAGAAAGAACATTTGGTGATTGTGAGTCTGCAAAGAAATACTCTCATGTTGATCTCATCCATATGATAGATGGCGTTGATACAGATAGAGGGAGTGTGACTGCTGGTGGACGAGGCTACTACTTAAAGGTAGGGTTTGTTTTATTAAGTGTCTCTAGCCCTTAATACCTGTGATCCTGTTCATTTGGCACTGTTGTTGTGGAGGATTAGACCGGAGCTAATATCAGGGGAACACACAGCTAGACATTTTTTAGGCCCGAAATAATTTAGACTAATTAATTCATTCAATTAATTGTTTAAGGGGCGGGGTCAAAATATCGATGTTCATATGGAGACGAAAGTACTTTCGCGAGGGGGGAGGGGGTTTTTGGGCACTTTCGTTGACCAAAAAAACATCGATAATTCGGATCTGATATACAAAAAATAATTGGACTTACCCACTTTTTCTGGCGCTATGTTCTGATAAAAAGGCTTGTTTTCAATAGTTCGTGAGCTTTTTTGTGTGATAGGTCCAAAATATCGGTAGATAAAGACGATAATTCGATCATTTTTCAAATAAATTCCGTACTTTTCCCTCCTCCTTTTGAAGAGTTCAATGCAGTTAAATTGCGAACGTGTGTTAATTCACCGTAATAATAACCCGGCAAATAGGATACGATTATTAATCAATGTTTTTTTGAAGTGACCTAAGCTTTCGTCTAGAGGGGGGGTGGGGGGGTTGTTGTCCAAACGAAATTACTTTCGTCTCCATAGATTTAGATTTATGAACTTTATTACACATTCATACCCATAAAAGGTTAAGTGTACACAAAGTAAACACTAATTTTACAATATATCAATACAACAGAAAACAGTATATATAACAACACACAAAATTAACACTTCATAATAAATAAATAAGTAAATAAATGAACAAATAAATATGCATCATGGATAAGCACATGAATGGTGATTGTGATACGCGTCCATTGTTTATGTCATATATCACACCCTTCTATGTTATATTACATTTATGAATAAATTCTGCTACAATTTCAATTTCTTTATTTTCACAAGACATACAATATTGGAAAAAAAGTGAATCGTCCTCCATGTTGAAAAGGTGTTTAATTGGGTTGCCGTGTGATACAAGTTTATCGAGCATTTTCTTTCTATATATACTGTATTTTTTACATGAACGCATTATGTGTTTTTCGTTTTCTATTAAATTGCAAACCTCGCAAATTCTTTCATCGATCTTTAATTTTGGGCGTTCGTATCTACCCGTTTCTATTTTTAATTTGTGGTTACTGATACGAAACTTTGTTAGACTTCGTCGTAAATGCCCATTTGAAATTGAATCTAAATATGGTTCGAACCTGAAATTGCTTTTAAATATTTTGTATGTATTCAGTTTGCGACATTGGTCGGAATTCAATTGATTTCGCCAATAATCTTCAAAACTAATTTTTGATTTACAAACAACTTCGGATGCGTCAATAGTATATTCTTTTACATCTAAAGTATTATTGATATTGCTGGGAGTATTTCCTGAAAATGATACTACCTCTAATTTATCCATTACACTTTTAAAATTCAGCATCCACGATGACTTGTTGATCTTTGATAAGTCATTTGATGTAGTAAGTGCTTCTGATAATAAGATGTATGACGTATTTAACATGTGATTATAGATATTTACATATGAACATTGATATTTTGACCCCGCCCCTAAGAAATATAGACCGAAGAGAAGGGGTAATATTGTCGATTACACTCCGCAGGGCTAGACACAAACGTTTTCTGTACCCCAAACGACCGAAGGTTTATAGTTTATAGAAGGTGTGAATACAGTGAGGTTCGAATGTAATATATGAGAAGAAATAATTATGTAATGTATGAATTTGCATTTTGTATGAGTGTCCTTTTGTATGTCATATAATACATTAGTGTTATTCTCTCCATTATTTCTTTGATACTGCTGTTTGGTATTGCATGGTTGGCATCTCTAAAAAGTTGTTACATTTTCAATTAGAATAACTTAACAATTTTGTCATGTTAATGGCTTTTTTATTATTTTTTGCATCAGAAATATTTATTCTTCTTACATTTTAGGGTGCTGCCGTTATGCTGGAACAGGCCCTGATACAGCATGCCCTGCGTCTGCTTATGGTGAAGGGCTTCACACCTCTCTATACACCATTCTTTATGAGGAAGGAGGTTATGCAGGAGGTAGCTCAGCTCAGCCAGTTTGACGAGGAGCTATATAAGGTAAACTATAATGAGTATAAACATAGACATACAGCTAAAAGAAATCAAATACTATTGGCCCAATATTTTATACATTTATGCCCCATATGAGTACACGTTCTGCTTGAAAGCCAATTTTCAAAATGGCTGCCATTTTAGTGTCAATTATACAGTATTTTCGTTATAACATGTTAAACTGTAATATTATTATGTTATAGTTGCAAAAAATTATATAATAATGTTCCTTAAGCTGAAAATCCAGTTATTTGTAAAATATGGTGGGCATCTTGAAAAATGGTGGCTGTTACATGCTATTATAAGATTTTTGCTGTATCAGGAAAAGTGGTGAAGCGATTTTGTTCATATTTGATATGTGAATACTCATAGGCATGGCACACTGTCTAATGACACTTCGGCTGTGTTTTTTTTCAAAATAGCCACCATTTCTATGTGTGTTATTTATTACGTTTTTTACGACAGCTCAAAAAGTAGTTAAGTGATTTTGTTGAAATTTAAATAAGAAATATATTCTGAAGAGCAAGGGTAATATTGTCGAATACACGCCACAAGGCTAGGCACAATCATTTTTCTTTGAAACCTTTTGTGCTTAGTCCTAAGGGGTGTATTTGACGATATTACACCTGCTCTGAGGTCTGTGTTACGATTCAAACATGAAAACTCACCACTAAAATGTTTCAAATATTCGTTATGGTCCGCCATTACTACGGGCCGCCATTATGATGTCAGACATTACTCGTTTTACCAGGTGTATTGTTTATGAATATAACCCGGCTGAAATATTGACTTTGTTCACAGTTTATAGAAGGCGTTTATAGTCATGTTTGAATATAAAGCTAGTGAATGGCCATTTTGAAAAATGGTGGCTATTTTTATTCGTACCATTTTTTTACTTTTGCTATAACTGGAAAAGTAATGGAGCGATTTTGTTGAAATGTGTAAATAATAAGAAGCATGTTACACTTCCCTTTGACAATTTGGCTAGTGATTGGCCATTTTGGAAAATAATGGCCATTTTTATGTTGCTATAATATGTATAACTGAAAATGTAGTGGAGCGATTCTGTTGAAATTTTACATGTGAATACTTAGAAGTATATTACACTTCTCACTGATACTTTGGCTAGTAACCAAACGATTTAAAAGTTATGTCCATGGCTGTTCGATGGGATTTGCTACAGTTTGGCATTGCTGTTATCTAGTTATGTCACCACCAAAAGTGGTGACATATTGTTATGGTCTCCGTTTTTTTGTGACGGCGGTTGGCGTCCGGCGGTTGGCGTCCGGCGGTTGGCGTCCGGCGTCCGGCGTCTGTAACAATTTCTTACAACTTCCTATAACTTAACAAATACTGTTTAGACTGACTTCAATTTTTTTCTAAATCATCTACATGTTCTCAGAAGTTCAAATCTGACTTTAGATTTGACATTTGACCTTCAATGACCTTCTCAAGGTCAAAAAGGTCTTTTTTCAACTTGCTTTACATTGACTAAATTTTTTTTCAAAATCATCTACATGTTCTCAGAAATTCAAATCTGACTTTAGATTTGACATTTGACCTTCAAATCTGACTTTAGATTTGACATTTGACCTTCAATGACCTTCTCAAGGTCAAAAAAGGTCAAAAAGGTCTGTTTTCAACTTGCTTCAAATTGACTAAATTTTTTTTTCAAAATCATCTACGTGTTCTCAGAAATTCAAATCTGACTTAAGATTTGACCTAAGATTTGACATTTGACCTTCAATGACCTTCTCAAGGTCAAAAAAGGTCAAAAAGGTCTGTTTTCAACTTGCTTCAAATTGACCAAATTTTTTTTTCAAAATCATCTACGTGTTCTCAGAAATTCAAATCTGACTTTAGATTTGACTTGAGATTTGACATTTGACCTTCAATGACCTTCTCAAAGTCAAAAAAGGTCAAAAAGGTCTTTTTTCAACTTGCTTCAAATTGACTAAATTTTTTTTTCAAAATCATCTACATGTTCTCAGAAATTCAAATCTGACTTTAGATTTGACATTTGACCTTCAATGACCTTCTGAAGGTCAAAAAAGGTCAAAAAGGTCTGTTTTCAACTTGCTTCAAATTGACTAAATTTTTTTTTCAAAATCATCTACGTGTTCTCAGAAATTCAAATCTGACTTAAGATTTGACTTAAGATTTGACATTTGACCTTCAATGACCTTCTCAAGGTCAAAAAAGGTCAAAAAGGTCTGTTTTCAACTTGCTTCAAATTGACTAAAAATCAAAATCATCTACGTGTTCTCAGAAATTCAAATCTGACTTTAGATTTGACTTAAGATTTGACATTTGACCTTCAATGACCTTCTCAAAGTCAAAAAAGGTCAAAAAGGTCTTTTTTCAACTTGCTTCAAATTGACTAAATTTTTTTTTCAAAATCATCTACATGTTCTCAGAAATTCAAATCTGACTTTAGATTTGACATTTGACCTTCAATGACCTTCTCAATTTCAGAAAAGGTCAAAAAGGTATTTTTTCATCTTGCTTCAAATTGACTAAATTTTTTTTCAAAATCATCTACATGTTCTCAGAAATTCAAATATGACTTTAGATTTGACATTTGACCTTCAATGACCTTCTCAAGGTCAAAAAAGGTCAAAAAGGTCTTTTTTCAACTTGCTTCAAATTGACTAATTTTTTTTTTCAAAATCATCTACATGTTCTCAGAAATTCAAATCTGACTTTAGATTTGACATTTGACCTTTAATGACCTTCTCAAGGTCAAAAAGGTCTTTTTTCAACTTGCTTCAAATTGACTAATTTTTCTTTTCAAAATCATCTACATGTTCTCAGAAATTCAAATCTGACTTTAGATTTGACATTTGACCTTTAATGACCTTCTCAAGGTCAAAAAGGTCTGTTTTCAACTTGCTTCAAATTGACTAAAAAAATTTTTCAAATCATCTACATCTTTTCAGAAGTTCAAATTTGACTTCACAAGTTCTCAGAAATTCAAATCTGACTTAAGTTTGAATATTGTGAGCAACTAGGTGGTGACATTTTGTCATGTTAATGCCTTGTTATACTTGATTTTTCTCTTAAATCTTAGGCCTACACTTCATACATTGAGTGTACTCTTCATAGATTGACTGGGATTTTATTTTTATCTCAGAACAGTTCATATCTTGATATTAATCAATTTTAACAGTGCCTCTGTCAAACATAATGCATATTCTAAGTCCATTCATTGAGATCTGAAGTTGACACATATTCTATTGTTCTTACATCTTAATTATAACAGGTTGTTGGCAAAGGCAGCGAAAATGTGGAGGATAAAAGTGTTGATGAAAAATATTTAATTGCCACATCTGAGCAGCCAATCGCAGCATTCCATAAAGGGGAGTGGATCCCCACCCAGGATCTACCAATAAAATATGCAGGCCTTTCGACATGTTTTAGACAAGAGGTTGGATCTCATGGCCGAGACACCAGGGGTATTTTCAGGGTACACCAGTTTGAAAAGGTTAGTTTAGTTTAGATTGCACTGATACTTCTGTCACAATAGAGTGATAAACATAGCAGCATATTGTATAACCTTTTCCAAAATATCCCAAACAACTGCCATATTTTATCAAATTTCATCATCTTCCACGTTTGAGTGATTATAATAAGCATTGAAATAACACAAAAATTTTTTAAAAATTATTTTGGCTTCAGGATTTGAATAAACATGAGTGATATCAACCAATCATATGCTTTAATTTCTCTCACCAGGTGGAGCAGTTTGTCCTGACAAGCCCCCATGATGATGAATCTTGGAAAATGTTTGATGAAATGATAGGAAATGCTGAAGAATTCTGTCAATCATTAGGAATACCATACAGACTTGTGTGCATTGTATCAGGTAATTAAGATTATGACACTGAACTTTTCATATATGGTATTCCATTACAGTTGATATTCGTATACAATAAATTTTCCAAAAAAACTTCTGAGAACAACTTCTATTCAAACTGTTTGAAATTAATAATGGCTACAGAAACTGAATGTTGCATGCAATTGAATCTTAGAAAGGGTTTTAGAGTCTTTATTTATATAGGATAACAATATGATATTCCTACATGTTATTAATTGAAGAGTTAGAGGTTAGCCCAGTGCAGCATTACAAGAATCTCCAGCCGGTGACATATGTTCAGAACTTCTAAATACCTTACTTGATGGTGAATAAATGAGATAGCAAATAAAGTTTTGTACCTCAATAATGCTGCCACCAAGGAAACTTGAATAGGAGGCTTGGTTCCAAAGTGGAATAGAGACTCACAAATTATTTCAGGATGTTTGAGAATGTTCATTAGCCTATAACTTATCTTCACATTGTAGGTGCATTGAATAATGCTGCAGCTAAGAAACTTGATCTGGAGGCTTGGTTCCCCAGTGGAACAGGCGCTTTCAGGGAGCTTGTCTCATGCAGCAACTGCCTTGACTACCAGGCTAGAAGGTTGAAAGTCCGATATGGCCAGACCAAGAAAATGGAAGCTGGGGTAGGTATTTAACATTCATGAATAAATGTTCATACTTCTATTAGAGTCATTAGTTAAGTGTTATCTTAACAAAAGAGTGAAAGGGGAATTATCTGAGTGAATGAACATTGAGGCATCATATAGAACCTTTTAAACAGTATTTAGACTGGATAGGATAGATGGATGAAATATGAAATATACATGTTATGAGTTATGCTTAGAGTGACCAAGCTGATTAATATTTCAATTTATATCTGTATACAGGGTGGGCAAATAAAAATGGGACACTCACTTATATTCTGTTTAAAAGAGTAAATAAGAACCAAATGTCATAACAATAGGGGAGTTTAAAATTTGAACATTTCTTTATGTGTACAGGGGTTTCATTAGCAGTAGGTAACAGGCAATTTTCACCAGTTGTTTTCACAAAATCACCTGTTGTTTTCTATTTAGGGACTTTTCAACTTTTCCATGTTAAATTTATGATTTCCATTAATTTTACCTGTTGTTTTCATTTATTTAGCCTGTGCTAAATTCTAATGAAACCCCTGATGTACGTAAAATTTCAAATCAAACAATGTAAGTTTTCATCATTTTTTTCTGTTCACAAAAAGGATGAGTCTGGGAATGAGTCTGGGTATCAACTTAGAAAATATTGAAAATCATAATGCTCTGAAAAACCAACTCAATCACACATATTATTAAACTTCAATATCTTATCCTTCTTCTGAGATTACAAAAATATCAATTTGTATCACAATTGATAAAGAATATTGGCATCAAAGACAATGCATATCACTTTGCTAGAATTGAAAAAAAATCAATGGCAAATATTAAATGAATTGTTTATACAAAAAGTTTGAAACATATCCTCCAAAACATTGCTTACTTTCTTTTTATAGACATTGAATGGTATTTCTGGATAAGTGAATTGGTGTTTATCTGGGTAATCAAGGGATTATAGTCACTCAAAGTTACTGAGCATCCAGTTTTGGCACTTCAATTGTGTTGGTGAAGTTACACATATTTCAGTCAAATTCATGCTGAGCACAACATTTTGGTTTCAATTTTATAATCTCTATACATGACCCTGGTGATGAAGAGTCGGAATCAGTCAAAAAACCTAAACCGGAAAACTGTGCTCATTGTGAAAACTAAAAGTCGAGCAACTTTTTTTCTGATATTTCTTACATCAAATGGCAGCCATCTTGTTTTTCCCCCTTCAAATTAAACTGGCGGGAAATTCAAAAATTTAAAAAAAAAATTAATCCTTAAATATATTTCAAAAATATGATTTTCTTTTTAATTCTTCATGGGTCTTAAGTTATTTCTTCTTTGAATGTCACACATGTTGCCATTGGTGTTTTTTTCTATGATACTGACTATTTTTGTTGTTGTTAAGATACTTATTCTGACTCTCAGCAGGGGGTTAATTATGCATCAAAACTCATGAAAAAGTAAATATACTTATCAAATATAACTAGGACAGTAATAAAAACCATATTTCACATTCATTTGACTGAGGGACCAAAAGGGCATATATCCAGACACATCCTTTGATGCATTACCTCGAAAAACAGCTTTTGAAATTGCAGATATTTTTAGAATTTCTAGAATTTCAGGTTTAATTCTCTTATTTCCCCTTATTTTCTCATAATTTTATGCATATCTCACCAAACTATCATTGTTATTTGTAGCCTAAACTTTATGCTTTTTATTAACGTTTTATTGGCGTTCCAAAAAGCCCGAAAATCAGGGTTTATGAAGAAAACTGGAACTACCTTGTGATGGTAGGTTGACTATGCATGATTTTATATCAAGAGGTTTTGGAAAGCACTCGACCTGGTCGCATTTGCTACCAGATTCCAGTACTTGCGACCAGATTCCAGTACTTGCGACCAGATTCCAGTACTTGCGACCAACAAGTAGAATCTAGTGGTCCTCATTGGGAGTACACTATATGAAGCATTATTCACAAGATTTTATTAACATTTTTACCTTTTCTAATATTGCATCATCTGCTGTGAACCAATCAAATTTTAGTTTACAATTTTCAGAAACCAGAAGTAGCTTACCAAAAGGGATATTTTCAAAAATTGTCATTATGATTTTTCTTTCAAAATCCATTGACATCCACCTTAATTCTTCTTGGTTTCTAATTTTTTTACTTCCACATACGTATTCAGAAAAATTAAGTTCTTGATCCCACTGGATTTTTACGCAAATATGTTCACAGGAATTCTAAGTGATGAGTCTTAGTTGTGTCAGTATTAGTTCCAAAAAAAGAAGAAACCAGTCTTGTCAGATTATTGGAAGTGAGGTAATCCCTAGCTTATTCACTCAAGAAGGAAATTCAATGAAATGTAAATCATGCAAAGAGGCTGCTTCAATTTGTGGCACAAATAATTTCTTGATTTTTTATTTTTTATGTGGGACCTGTAACAAATTGAAATGAAGTGGTCCTACTTGGCGACTAACATTTCTCCAGGACCACTTCACATGAATTTTTACTGGTCCTAAGGACCACTGCTGAATTTTAAGCACCAAAACTTCTGTTTATATCTGAACGAAATGGGGTTAGACTGATTCGTAAATGGTTGCAAAAATAGGAGAAATGCATATGTAATGTAAAGTACTGAGTTTTCTGAGATTGAGAGCTAGTATCACAGATAGATACAGGCATATTGGACATACATTTTAATGAATTGCTTCAGTTTTAGATTGTAAAATCTGTTTTTCCAAAAATTGTCACAATTTCCAAAGCAATGAAGATAAGTCACATAAGTATTATATCTTATTAAAGCTAATTGAATTCCTTATCTTTTGGTATATAACAAATTGTTTATCTGTTTAATCCTAAATACTTTTAAGAATGATACAAAGTGTCCCACTTTTTATTGCCCACCCTGTATATACTGATATGGGTATGTGTGTGTTAAGAGATAGATGTCAGTTGGTGAATATTTAAATGTCAAATTGATTCACATTTGGGGTTGTACATTCCAGGCCGAGTATGTTCACATGCTGAATGCTACAATGTGTGCTACAACCAGAGTAATTTGCGCAATTCTGGAAAACTTCCAAGTTGAAGATGGTGTTATTGTTCCTGAAGCTTTGCGCATGTACATGCCACCTAGTAAGTTTTACTGATAACTTCACTATCTTTCAGCAAAAATGATTTTGAATTAAAAATGTGAAAAGATGTTTAAACCTTTAAGAGACCATCTTGTAAAGGGCATGGCCATTGTAACATGAACAGTCAGATGACTCCATTTTAAATTGTAGGATGACTGATTTAATGATTTGCTAGGTTTAGGCCACATGAATGATATAAATCAGGACATTTTTACAAACATTACCTTTGATTTTTTTCAGGCATGAATGAGAAAATCCAGTTCACCAAACCAGCACCTATAGAACAAGAAGAGACCAGGAAGGCAAAGAAACAAAAACAAGGACAATCCAAAGCCAAAACTAAAGGAGAGGGGGACAGTGTAGAAAATGCAGTTAAAAATATGTCAATCGATAAGTAAAGTGGATTTGCTAATAGAAATCAATTTAAATTCAATCAATATATTTATTAGACTTGAACCCTAGATCACCTATATGGACAACACACTGGAGATATCCTTGGTATATGTACTATAATTCACCAGGACAAACAATGCAACTAAAAGTTATGATATGCCAAAAATAAATCCAGATGCAATATATGAATAAGATGAACCTTGAGGTTTAGAGTTAGTGGATTTCTGTTGAGCTAGGTCTGAAATGTTCAAATATAGGACCAAATTTATAAAAGAAAGTGAGACCAAGTGAGAAACTTCAGAGTGAACTGAAATCTGTTAAGTGGAACTTGCTGTAAAATGAACATTTGTAAGTAGAAATCACCTAAATAGATTTTACTTGACTATTATGATTGAGCAACTGGCTTGCAGATATATTTGCAATGTTCCTACACATATTTCTTCTCAACTGTGTGCAAAACTTTACCTATTCTCTCGTTGAATTTCAGTTTTTTCTTCATTTTCAAAAATAAAAAGTGCAAATAATTCAGCACAAGGTAATTTGAAATAATTTCTCAACATACTCTCATTCTAATTACTAATCCTAATGGCATGCGGATGGGTAAAACCAGTGTTTTCAAACTGTGATAGATACTACAATCTCAAGTGAACAACATTGTTCCACATTAATAGTGCCACAACCACATGTATACATCAATTGTACTACATATGTACTTATATAGCGCCACATAAATTGCACCATATATGGCTGCACATGCATTGTACCAAACATGTACATGCATTGTAGCCCATATGGGCACACATTTACAGCAGAACATCTGAGCTCAGCAGCAAGCAGGGGACTTTGTGGTCTTATTTCTAAATTCAGAGCACATGAAGGACTATCATTCCAGACGTTCAGTAAACTGTATGACACATGTGTATTACCTATTATGAACTATAGAGCTGGCATTTGGGGAGCGAAACCTTATCAAAAATATGTCAGTATTCACCAACCCGCCATACGTGCATTTATGGGCGTTCATAGATGGTGTTCAGATATAAAATCAATTTTCAATTAGTTAAGGATGAATGATCATTATAACGAGAAACAATATGTTAATATCAGCATTGTTAAGAGAAAGCTAAAGTTAAAATTACAAGAAAAATTATGTATAGATATTGAATCACAACCCAAATTGAGGACTTACCTTTTAAACATAACTGTCCAATAGAACAATATTTACTTACATCTTCATTGACAAGGGGTGAACGCTCTTTAATAGCTAAGTTAAGAACTGGTATACTTCCTTTAGCAATAGAAACAGGGAAATTTACCCAATCGAAAACTCAAATGATATTGAAAGAATCACATTTTGTATTTAAGTGTTCAAGGTATTCAGAAGCTAAAAAGTCTTTTCTTCAAGAAATCAAAGACATTTCCTTTAAAGATATCTTTGAAAATAAAAAAATATATTAAATGTTTTGGAAAGTATTTGCAAAAAACATTCTAAATTAGGAAAAGTGTTTTATTTAAAATCAAGATCAATAAGGATATTGAACTGAATTGCACTAATTTTATATTTGTATTGTAAAAAATGTAAAATGTGTCTCATAAGCCCAGGTAGGGCTGGCTATTTTAGATAGGTGACACATAAATAAATGAATGAATAAATAAATTGTATCGTACATGCACTGTACAACTGTAACATTTCCTAATATAATGTTCCCTCTTTAAACTGTAAGAATATTTCAAATATTGCTGATTTTTCCTTTTAGTCCTATTAGACAATGTTTCTTGTCAATATTGATTTCTGTATGACAGACAGTATCTCAATAAACTTTCTTGACAATTATTCACATTAACACATTGTTTTTAGTTTATTATATATTTTTATTTTTTATTCGTGTATATACTAGATTCAGTGTTTTAGGTTTGAAAGTAATATTATGATAAACCCCTCAAAGCCAACTTGAGAGTGTTGTTATACAGGGTGATACAAAAAAAAGTAATGATGTTATGAACTGAAGGTCAGGTGGATTGTTGAAATGTCTTCACTGGTTTTCATTATTCTAGTCTTGCACCATCACCAACACGTTGATTTCTCTCACTGTACGTTAGTGTGGGTTGGGGACATTATGCAACTGCAAGATTACAACATGGGTATAAAGACTGAAGTATATTAAAATGTTGGTTGTGCCTGCCTCCTTGGGAATTGTTTCTTGCCAGTCCAATAGTCACTTGTTGTTCTAAATACCACACAGCAGGCTGGTATACTTCCATCATGTTCTTGTATCTGAAATATTGACCAGTGAAAATCGTCAAAAATGATGAAATATTGCAAACATATTTTCAAGGCTTTCCATCCAGGCACGCTCTAACAAAAATCATTTAAAGAGGCAATTTCAGAATTCTGCATTTGTAAGTTTTCCTAAACAAGTCAATTCATCATTATTGACAATGTTAAGCCCTAGTGTTAATACACTATGATATAAATAATCGTTTCAATGCTTGCATCATTTCGAGCATTTCAATTGTTTCAATCGATTCGCCTTTGAAATGAATTTAAAGTTTCGCTGTTTCTCCGTTTCAAGCATTTCAATCAATTCGTCTAATCTGTTTTCACATTATCTTTCATTTCAACCATTTCAAGCATTTCGGCCTTTTCGCCCCCCGTTTCAAGCAAATGGTATAAGGTCGCATGTTCTTACCACAATGGTTCTTCCAAATGCTGAAGAATCGCCAAACAACGCCAGAGCGCCTGCTGTCAAGTTGGTGTTAACGTTACCCATTGCATCACACGTAAAACTGCCTACATTTCCATCTTTCCTGAAAGTAAACATAAAATGATTCATTTGGAGGTTGATTTGTGACAACATAAAATGTTTTTGTAATCCTGGCATTGGCCTCCAACAGTTTTCTCATTGATTTTAAAAGCGCATGAAAAGCAGAGATTGTCAGTCAGCTAGTTCCAACTTTTTAAAAGTACGGCAACGATGGAAGAAAGAGAAATGTCGATTTTAAGTCCACATCCGTTATGTAAACCTTAGTCCTTGCTATTTAGTCTAGCAGACGACTTTACTCACATATCTGTTTCCATATCCTCATGACTGTCATGGTGATGGTAATGGTGGTGACCCCTGTTGGACAGTTTCACTACCTTTCCCACATTCTCGCAAGCACCTAGAGCTACTATGCCAGCCTCATGCAGGAACAACTTGCGCATGTGATCAGCATTGTCGGCAGCGTTCTCGGTATCAAGGCCCCTTAGCATCACCCTCATCTCGGTATCTTTGTTCCTCTGAAATATACGGTGTGAAATGACGTATGATCTAGCAGAGACGTCATTGACCCGTTCCTTGTTTCATTATAGGTCGTTAGTGGTGATTTTTATTCAGAATTAAATTTGTTTTAACAACACATGGTATGTACCGAATTAAGCGTGACAGTTCGCTACGGTACAACACAGGGTGATATAATTTGAGCAGACTGATGCTTTCATCGGTAAACCTACACAGACACCGAATGTGAAGATACGGTACACCATTAGAAAGCTTTTTTTGTCATATTGAATGCAGTTTTTACCAGTTGACGTTAACAACTGAGAAATCAAACATTACGTTACGACGTGAACACCGATAATGTTAAGTGTGTTTTTGTTATTGCGTTTCATATTAATGAACTTAATACAATGTTACGTGAGTTTTCTCATCCTAATCCAAAGTGACTCACCAGGATGAAATTGGTCTTCTAACAACTGAGACATCACTTAAAAATATGACATTACACACGACGATGTTACGTTTTTCATCGTGATTTGGAAAGATTAAATACATTTTTAAACCACGACCTTGTAAAGGTACTATAGCCATTGGATTCCCAGTTTTAGTTTTACTTTCTTCTAATTTTGCATCTTTTCATCTTTATGAAAAAGACCGACAGCCAACCACCCACCACGTGTACCTAACTGTGAAGAGTGACTGGTCGGTGGTCGGCGGTCGGTGTTTTTCCTAAACCCATGTCATATTTCCAATAAACATGACTAAACGCCGATTTTAGTCAATAATCGTAGCGTTACGACGCGGAATTCCGACCATTGGGATTTGAACGATTGGAATTCGGACCATTGGGATTTGGACGATTGGGATTCGGCCGATTCGGATTCGGATTCGGAGGAAAGGATAAGGACCATTGGGATTTGGACCATTAGGATTCGGATGATTGGGATTCGGGATTCGGAAGTGGGGTTTAATCGTAATTAAAATATTTACAAAACGTCTATCTATTATCTGCTTAAATAACAAGAAAATATTTAGCTTATTTTGGAATGTCACTGATATGGTTCTACTGCTATACTTGACCATTCGTATCCGACAAATCATGTGTCCCACAAATAGCCAAAGAGGAGTGTATTTATTCCAACGTTCAGCTATTACCTGTTGTTTTAGCATTATCATTCCTATGACTTGACCAGCTCGTGTACCAACTGCATTAGGGATCATGAAACAGACACCATAGGCTGCTTGGTCTGAAAAAGATGACTATCATAACATTGTCTTCCAGGACCTTGTCTATATATTCCGAAGATTGAAGACATTGTTATATATGCAGTGATTGACCTCCAGCCACATGCTTCGAGAAAAATTCCACTTGTAACGTCATATATAATGAACATCTTCAGTAAATATTGAAAATGAGAAAATGTGATTTCTGAGTGTACTGTCTCCTAATTTAAAAATTTGATTGGATTTTCCCATTTGGACCACATGTTATATTTAGCGACCTTAGAGGAACAAAGTTACATAATACAGACTAATTTTTAACACACATAGAAAATGTATTTTTGATGGGTCTTGTCAATTTTCAATCAAAATGGCTAAGAATCATACATCACCTTCGTCCATTTCATATCTGTGCTTTATCATCATTTTTTGCATCATCTTCGAGGGTTCCACCTTCACATGCAGATGTACGTGTGCCTCCTGGTGATCATGTTCCGCGATATGATCGTGTTCGTCATCGTTGTGATGGTCATCTTCGGCATGAATGTGAAGATTAATATCAGACGGTCCACATGAACTTTTGTTGGGTAGATCTCCAGTTTTAAAGGTACCCTTGTCTTCGTATTTCTTGTATGTATCCCAGAGGATCTGTACCCTTTCATCTGTCGTATCTGAATCTAAATCCATAATACTATGATTAAATACAGAAAGTAAGAAAATGAAAGCAATAACTGCGAAATAGAGCAAGCGTGGGGTCTAGGATGTTTTTGAAATGAGACAAAACTCTCAAGGCAATAATCAAACGAGTGCTTTTACTTGGCTGTACATGCTTGTGCTTGGTCTTCCATGGTAATATAATCTACGAAAATGATCCGACCAGTATCTCTTCGTCAATACTCGTTGGTTTCCAGCTCCGAGCAAATTGCCTCGTCTAGGCGGTGGGTATGCTAATTACCATTTAGTTTTCATGTGCCGACTTCATCCATCTAAACTTCTGAGGAATCATCACTTACCCGATGATGAAGCGGTTCTTGGTCTGCGAATTCCAGTTACAAGAGTCACAGCGATTGCCAACAGTAATAATAATCTCATTTTCTCTCTAATTTTCCGTTTTTAGTTTTATGTAGTTCTTCTAGAATGACTTATCTGTGTCCTCACTACATATAGCAAGTGTATGGTCTGATAGTAGGTGGATTTATGTTGACTGCTATTGGTCTTTTGCTTTATGGACGTTGATCTGTTGTTGCATGTTGCATTTGTAGATATGGAAAGTTTTGCCTGGTGTTGTGTTTACATGGTCAGTAGATAATGATGATATCAATGAGTATATAAACAAAATCAAAATTGTGTACTTGGTTTATAAGTAACATTCTTGCCCAGGCACTCAAGAAATAGTTAGATCGGCCTATTTGCACATGATTTGTGGCCTCCTTGAATCCATTTTGGATGATGTGTATAAAACATTTTTTACCCGCTTGTTTCCAAATGCTACACTTCGATGTGATGTTTTTGATTGATGGTGGCATATTCGATCCATACACCTTTCTTTATCTTGAAGCTTTATCAGAAGCTATGATATTGGGTAACACGCCAAAAATGAACATAAAATTATTCGAAGCGTATTTCGAAAATTTTGAAGCCGCCATTGATGACGTCACTTGTTAGTCGATTTTTGACCAATCAGATGTATGTCATCTCAATACGGGTTTGCATTATAAGCATATATGAACTTCGACATTATTGCCCCTCTGGGCGGTATCCCCCGGGGGTATCTTCCTAAAATATCGACAAAAAACAGTGAAATCAGGTCAAAAATGCACTGAAAGTTTACAATTTAGGCTGATGGGATACTACAAGACTCTAGTTTATACAGCTGTGCAAGTTCCAGTCACCAATATGAGCAAAGGGCGAGATTCGGGAAAATAAAAAGGGTAATTTTATTTTGAATTCCTGTTGCCGGCCCTCCATAGACTTTAATGACTCAGTTTCGAAAGAATGATGGCTCCAGTCCGGGTATCTATAGTGTCTCGAAGTGAATTGAGATCATTGGCGCATGGCATGGCATGGCATTTAAAAATGGCAGACGGGGAGGACACGACTCCCAAAAGGATGAAGTACTGGAAATACAAGATTAGTTTTGTTTATCTACCTATGAAACAAAACCCAAGTATTTTCTATATCTGTGAAAAGTGCAACTGCACGGGCGTAATTTTACATCTGCACGAGCGTAATTAACGCCTACACACCCGTAAACAACGCGTGCATACTCTGGGCGGGTAAGTCAACCATGTGCACGAGCGTAATTAACGCGCCCGTTAACAACGCGTGCATACTTTGGGCGGGTAAGCCAACCATATAATTGCTCCCAGGGCACGTGTAGCTGATTTGGCAAGGATGTATACCGATTTAGACATTTTAGGTAAGTCCTAAATATTTGTATTGTGCTGCATATTCAATGACTTCGTCACCATAACGAAACACGAATTGGGACCGCGTGTGATCCTTTGGACGATGGTGGATAATGTTCGTTTTCATAGCATTAAGGTCAGGGTGCATGATGGGAAATTTTCTGCATTCCTCAATTGAGTCACGTGTTATTTTTCAAACAAGAATCACTCCTTCCCCAGAGAGTCTATGTCTTCCAGGTTTGCACAAAGAGTGCTCTTATGTGCCTAGAAAAGACTTGTGAGAAGAATGTTTTGATAAAGTGCATAAAAAACAAGAAAATTCAGTGAAAAAATTCAGAAAATTTTCAGAAATTTTTTTCACTGAATTTTCTCGTTTTTATACATTTTACAAAACAAATCTTCTCACAAGGCTTTTCTAGGCACATAAGTGCATGCAAACCTGGAAGATGTAGACAATGTGGGGAAGGAGTTATTCTTGTTTGAAAAATAACATGCGACTCAATTGAGGAATGCAGAAAATTTCCCAACATGCACCCTGTCCTTAACCGTTATCCTCTATTTGCAGCACCAAGTATACATGGTATTTAGCATTTCTTGAAGGTTTTGCTCTGTTGGAGCTATCAAGGCAATGTCGTTCGCGTAAAGTAAAATTCCGACATTTGTGACATCAATAGGAACTTCCATATTTAGACAACCCAGTGCCTACGTCAAACCAGCTTGTGAGCGTTGAAGTTATCCTTACTGGGTACTGAACACCAACATGTAATGATTGGATCGCACTAAGTATTCGACCCATACTCCCGCCACAGATAATTTGTACCACCCTTGGTACCACATGCATTTCCTATTTATCGTGTCAAAACTTGAGGACACGCAAGAGACGCTCTTGTTTGAGCCTCTATAGGGCAAGGAAAAAATTATGTCTTGCTTTATTTATAAAACCGATGAAAGTCAAAAAGATAGCAATGAAGAGGCAAAAGAAGAATTAGCATCAAGTACTGATGAATATGACAAAATTAAAGAGAAAATCAGATATAGCGAGCAGGCTAAACAAAAAATTGTTTCAATTTTAGAATATTTTTGGCTCATGTCATTCCTTGTCAAGTCTATTTTCTAAAAATCACAAAAGTGCATACTTTATTCCAGGAAAACTAAAGATTTTTACAATAAAGTATTATTTTTCTATAAGAATGGTCACCATTCTTATTATTTGGGAGAATTTTAACACTTTTCACTCATTTTTGCACTTTGAATCATTAATAACTTCATCAATTTATAACATATTGTGAATCTTTTGAGAGATATTGTATTTGATATTATAAAGAATAGATTGGCAGGTCAATTATACATGTTGGTTGTACTTTTGTCACCCCTATAGATCAGATTCTGCCTTTAATAACAATGAATCTGGGATACATATTTGAACGACGTTTGCATAACCCGCCCATCAATTTTTGGCGTAACAGCAAATTCAAAATACATTATTATGGCTTGAGAAGAACATATTAGGTGGTTTCCAATGGTCAATTGGCTTTTTATGATCGTATGTAGGTTACATCTATATACCCCGAGGTCGTTAGGCAATGTAGATCATGCCATGACGACAAAAATAAACAAATTAATAATTTTTGTGTAGTTTTAAATTCGAAACTCAACAGTTTTTCGCTTCTTTCATGTTATCCCCGAGTATCAATTTGCAAAGACTACGTTCAAAATATACAATGCATCACCGCGATACTTACATAAATCGTTCATCCTTTCATTGATACACAGCAGTAGAAAATAATGCACAAACCTTGGTTTTCTGTTCCATCGCGGCCATTTTATTGGATAAATCAATGAACGTAGCCGTCCAACCTCGTTTTAATGGAGATTTCAACAATATTATTAGTGTTTTATTTTCAAAAAGCAATGGGCAGTTGATAGAAAATTGATATTTTGTAGCTCTTACCTGAGATTGAAACCCAGTCAGATGATTCATTATCCAGAAAAAAGGTACATTTGTAGCAAGTGATCTGATTGGTCACTGCTGACCTCCACCAGTGACAATTTCTGTATTAACCAACCAAATCACTTTCAGCTTGCCAGGCAATTGCATATATCCGTAGTTGTTGTTTTATATGCAGTATTATATGCAGTTTTAAGATAAAGATTTGAAAAAAACAATGATATAAGTTTGAAAAACACTTTGAAGAAGATTTTGGAGAGATTTTGGAATACAATTTGATACCAGTAAGGTTTTTCAATTATTTTTTTCAATTATTTATTTTCATTTCATAATTCTTATATAATATACACTATAAAAACAAGCCGCTAGACACCCTAGTGGGTATATGTTGCGGTTTAACAGAAATCATTAAAATGACAACTAGACTACATATAAAAGAAAACACTTATATTATGTTACATGTAGGTATATAAAAATGGTATTAACAATTAATCTAAGGATGTACAATGTAAAAATGTTACAAAAATCGGGTACCAGTATAAAATCAACAGTATAGTATGATATTGGTATTATACATTATCGATAGATGAGTAGTTTTTTATATGAAGATTTGAAAATATTTAGAGTGGAGCATTTTTTAATATCATGTGGTAGAGCATTCCAAAGATTAGGACCCAGAAAGCGAAGGGAAAGTTTAGAGCATTTAGGGATATGAAAATAATGCAATTGTCTTGTGTAATGATGATGAATATTAATGTTGATATCAAACAAGTCTTGAAATAGATTTTTTGGAAGACTGGGGTGCTTATTAAAGATTTTGTACATGAACTGACCAGTACAATATCTGTTGACATCAAAAATACTTAATATTCTAAGATCTTTAAATAGGGGAGCGGAGTGAGAAAGTCTATCCTTATTTAAAGCTAGCCTTAAGAATTGTTTCTGCAGTTTATGTAGACGATCATAAAATGATTTAAATGTGTTACCCCAGATTATGTTGCAATAATTTAATTGAGAGTGTATCAATGAGTAGTAAATTGTTTTGAAACTGTCTATTTGAAGTAGATGTTTAATGTGATAAAGAGAACCAATGACGCGAGAAATCTTTGTTTCAACAGATTTTATGTGCTCTTTAAATTTCAAGTTTTTATCAATAATAATTCCAAGAAAGTCAATTTTTTCCCGGAAATTTATGTTCTCATTGCGTATTTTAAGATTCAGATTTGTTTGATTTTTTTGGGGTCCAAATAGAATAGCATTGGTTTTGCCAATATTAAGTGAAAGTTTGTTTGCTTTTATCCAGTCATCTATTGAATTCAAGTTTGCATTAGTTCTAGTTATAAGTTCATTTAAATCATAATCACTATCAAGAAGATTGGTGTCATCAGCAAACATAATAAATTTTAGATTAGGGGCAACAAAAGGCAGATCATTTATGTAAAGAATAAATAATAGTGGTCCAAGTACCGAGCCCTGCGGAACACCACAATTTAGAGATGATTGTTTAGATTCATAATTGTTAATGGTGACATATTGTTTGCGGTCTTTTAAATAACTTTCAAACCAGGACTTAGCTATTCCTCTGATGCCATAATATTCAAGTTTTTGTATCAAAATGTCATGATTAATTGTGTCAAAGGCCTTGGAAAAATCTAATGTTATGCCAATGCTCGTTTTCCCCAAATCAGTTGATTTTCGAATTTGTTCAATGAAATATAAAATGGCCATGTAGGTAGAGTTGAATTTCTGAAATCCAAATTGATAAGTAAAAATAATTTCAAAACGTTCTAAAAAACCAGTGAGTTTGGCGTGCATGAGCTTTTCTAACAATTTAGAAAATACAGATAAAACTGAAATTGGTCTATAGTTCGAAGGATTTGTAGTGACACCTTTTTTAAATACAGGTGTTACTTTGGCCAATTTGAGGGCGTCTGGGAAAATACCAGATTTAAAAGATAAGTTAAATATATACAAGAGTGGATCAATTAAAAACTGTCTTGCAGACTTAATAAGTGATGGTAGAATCCCATCAGGTCCAGGCGAGGAAGATTTTAGAAGACACATTTCTAATTCAAGCTCAGTTTTTGAGGTCTTTTTGAGATAAATAGATGATTGAACTTTTTGAGCTCTTGCTAGGTATTCATTAAAGCATTTTTTGGATTTTGGAATCTCCTTGGCTAGATTTTTACCAATATTGGTAAGGTGAAGGTGAAAATTGTTTAATCTTACTTGTGGACCCGTCTCTTCTATATACAGCTTACTATACTCCTCAAAAAGTTAAGGACCTCATAGGTTTACATGTTAACCCCCATATTTGTTTAACGACTGTTTTCTAAGAAATCCCAATAAAGTAAATAAATCTGTATCTTGATTCTATTCCCTATAAAGTCCGCAACGGTTCAATGTTATATCTCCATTACATTCTGTCAAAATTGATGAATTTCATGAAATGAACATGAACAAAAATGGCAGATCCCATGTTAAACAAATGGGGAATGGTGGCTTAGGGGCAACTCAGATTTTGGAATATCTATTCAGCAAAACATTTATTAAAAATACTTTCTAAGTAGAAAATCGAATGATTTTACATTTTACATGCTAAATGTCTCGCTTATGTTGTTATAATTAGCGATACGGAGCGTTAAAGTAATTTTGACCACCTCACTGAACCACCTGTGTTATTTCAATAAGAGGTTCATTAAAAAATTATTGAATTTGAAACCATTAACTTTTGGAAAGCCTGGACAATTAAATCATATTTTTGTCGAGTAGACAATTTAGCAAATTTAATTATCTCTTACAATCTCAATTTTGAGAGCAATCGGATGGATGGATCGTTCCTCATATGACTTATGGCAACCCCATTCTGATACTCATAGCATCTTTCTGTTTCACCTGAAACATGCTCTGATATTATGAGGCACATCTGAGCACATCGGATGGGAAGAGTTATAACTGTAAATAAGTGTGATAGTTATCATGTAATCATTTACATAATGTCAATACATTACATAATAGGCATTGTATTTAACAGCAGATATTAGCACAGGCACGCGTACACAAGTTTGATCACCCCAATTTAATGAAATATGAGCTGTGATGAAAGATCTCAAAAATCCTCAATTTTGGGCTCTCCTAGATCGCCAAATCAAGCTCATTATATCATGGCATCTCAGGGCTGAGAAGAATTGAGATGTCATGGTTTATCATGATGTGGCAACCCAACCAATTTCTTTTGTTTCCCGCTTAGAAAACAGTCGTTAAACAAATATGGGGGTTAACATGTAAACCTATGAGGTCCTTAACTTTTTGAGGAGTATATTACTTTTCGCTTGGCCTAATCTAATAAAGTTACCAACTTGACAACTTTCCAAGAATTTCAATTATTCAACCAATCAATCGCAAACAAACTACGACATTGCTAAACGAGTATATAGGCTTATGTCTTGGTCACATTTGCTCCGATTTTCACGGCGCCCGGCCGATTGAGTATTTTGTTCAGAAATGTATTCAATTTTGAACAAAATACTCAGGGCCGATGAATCGCAGCAAATGTGACCCAGGCATTACATATGTTATAAATAATGGCCAGTGCCGATAATTAGTCTTTCAATAATTCCATTATTGCTAATTAGATTAATGAGTGCATTCTGCTACTGTAACCTCATTTTTAGCATCTAATAAAGGTTTGTTGGTATTGGGAATACAAGTTAAGGGTCAGCTGGAAAGTAACATTTTGGTAAAAAATCGCTATACTTGCACGTGTGTGTGTATTTCCTTGCTTTTTTCCAGGAAAGTATCATTACATTGCCTACTTTTAGTAAACCTGGAAACAGGTCGATGGTAGCTCCTATGTTGTCTAAAAAAATTGAAAGAAAATTTGGAAAAATAGAAAGTGTGAAATATCAGAATTTCCTGGAGTTCCAGCTGTACCTTAAATACGATGACAACATACATATAAACGTATATTTTAGGATTGAAGGAAACATGCAAAGACTGGTCTAGTGGAACCATCACATGTCTGAGACAAATTTACAGGTAGCTATATGATTTCTTGTTAATTATTTGTCTGAATTCTCTCTTTTCACGATATATAAAAAGGTGCAGTTGAAATGGATATCTCAGTGATGACTGTCATTCTTCTATCGAAGACGTGTGTATCTCCTTGTTTTGCAAGAAATTAAGATTTCTTACAATCTTAGTACCCTTGGTGCATGCCGAAGTCCAGCATTGAAATTTTGAGCAAAACACAGTAAAAAGTGGAGACCTTGAATCTGTACATACAATGCCCAAATCTTTATTTTATTACGTGACTCGAATTCCAGCTCATCAAAAATCAATTTGTAGTCAATATAGCAATATCAATATGATATCAAGTTCATTTCCTTTTGTCTATGTCCATAATCTGCAAAAGGCTAATAAGTCCAGTTAAGGTAACACTAAAGTTAATGAAAAGTAAAAAATGGCAGCCATATTTTTTTGATAAAGAGTCACAAGATTTTGTATCTGTTTCCCTTATCTGTGAATGAATTTCCTGACTAAAGAGACATGTCAAAGAATTACTACTTAATTGAATAGTTTTGATGCTTATTTTTTGGAAGTTAAGTTTCCTAAAATTGATAATTGTGTGCAGGAAATTTCCTGTTTTTTCCCACAGGAGAGACATAATGATCAATAGACTGAATTCTCAGGAAATTCAGTCTATTGGATATAGACTAGCCGATTGAGTGTTTTGTTCAATATTGTATTCAATTTTGAACAAAATACTCAATCGGCAGGGCGCCGTATTGAAAATCGGGGCAAATATGACCAAGGCATAAAGCCCCAATTATGTATCTCTCATGATTATTATAGTACTGTTATAGATAAAATATACTAGTGATAATCCATGCCACTTGGTGAAGTCACAAAACTTGTATGAGGATTAATCAGGAAGTCTAATAAGTAGTTCCGGCAAACAAAATGGTGGACATGATATAAGGAACTATGGTTAAAGCTTTATCATACTCTAACAATGCATGAAGTGCACATTTTCATGCACCTTCGATATTCCTTGGTAAGGAACTTGATGATTTGTGGAAGTTTTGGATTCTTGCAAATGTGTGACTGTCAAAATAATAGTACAATAAAGACGTAATTTCTAAGGGCGATATAGTGAAATATTGGACCTTGGGCCTTCGGCCTTCGGCCCTTGGTCCAATATTTCACTATATCGCTCGCAGAAATGACGTTATTAGTATTATTACCACCGTTAACGACCAGGACTGAAACAGCAAGAAAATCTTACGCATTGAACGATATCTAATTTCCCGGGGAAAATTGCCGGTCCAGAATATATTCTAGACCGGTCCATATGGACCACCACTATGACGTCACAAATTTCTCAGGTCGATATAGTAAAATAAACGCCTTCTAAACCAAGGGAAAGATCAATACCCGGTGATTTCAGCGGGAAGTGGCGTTTCGTTCAGTGGATGAGCTGCGCGCGCACGCATAAATGTGATTATCCAATATAATTAGGGGAGGGCTATTTGAAATAGTTTTTGGTCTCAGGCGCGACCCAGGGCTGTTGTCTTAAGGACATTTCGTTGAAAATGAGCCATTCGGCTGATAATTGGTATGAGTTTGCGATCTTATAATGTATAACTGTTACTCAGACACATATTTTGACACGATTCTGTTTGAAATAAGCTTTGAACCGAGAGATAATCACGATTGATATGCACATTTTTGATTGTGCCATTGCTTTTCCATTGCACAATCCATGTATTGATAGAAGAAACATTAATAATGCAGATTGGTTTACCTTCAATACATGGCAGACACTACATATCGGTCTATTAATACCAGTTTGTGCCTTAAATAGTTTTATATTTCCATCCACGGCCTGGAGCCTGGTTGTGTTTGTCTCTTATGTGTATGCTTGTGCATGGACTTCTAATCACTAGCAGAATTTAACATGATGCAAACTCGACATTATAACTCATGCTGTAACATTTTGACTTCGCTGGAAAACAATAGAAATTATTTTTCTTGCCAATCAATCATGAATCACAATCAAAATTTCAGAATGATCAATCAGGCAATGGTCCAAATCAAGTTATAACATTATATGATATTCAGCAAGAAGTCCGGTAGAAATACAGAATATTTAAACATCAAAGCTGAAAGTTAAAAGCTAATCTGTCAATTTTCTGTCTGCAAAAGAGCGTTTACATTTGACACAATAACAGACTGAGGCTTTGAAATCTAGGATTCCCCAGGAAAATATGACGTCATACTAATTAGCATAAGGATTTCCCTATTGGCTTGGGTCGAGCCTTGTTCGAAAACACAATCCATAAATACATGCTAATTTCTAAGGAGATAGGAAGTGTATAACGTGTTTATCGATTTTGTTTAAAGATTTAATCAATTATCAAATTGTTTAAGTGGATAAAGTGGTCACATTTGCTTCAATTCATAGCGAAATCGACGGATAGAAACTGACCGAATTCCCGATATCCTACCCCGTATTACTGTAGGCTATAAGCACAGTGACCTACAGAGGGCGCTATCACAAACAAGTACTGCACGAACCGATAAATTCCCGGGTATTGTAACGCCCTTGTCTAAACTAGCACTAAAACCCCTAGAACTGGCCCGGCAAGGTGGTAATAATATTTTATTGGAATGTGTACATTCTCCAATTTTGAAAATCCAAAGGCAATGCTATGAAATATGGAAAGTTGCCTACCCTTATAGTTGAAAGCCCATGGTTATAGTCATAGATATGACGTGCACGGACCTGGGGACAATTCTAGAAATACGGGCTAATCTCAGCTTTAAGCGTTAATATCTGCCTTATTTAAAAAGCTAACTATGTGCATTATATATCATTTTGAAGTATTTTTTATTCGCATTTCACTGAAATTATTTTTCCATGAAAAGTGTGATGGGATCTACCATAATTTTGAAGTTAAATGTACTCCGACATTGTCAAATACGCTGTAAGGCGTAACATTTCACGCTTACACGGTTCGTTGAAATCGGTATAACTTTTGAAATACTGATCAGAATTTTACTAAAATTTCACATTTTATTCATTGAAACATGTGCTTTTATGACGTCACAATTGCCTAGCGGCTACAGTTCAAATCGTCTTATATGAACGCTTTTAAGATTTTCAAAATTGTGTAAGGTTTTGAAGACGAAGGAGACAAGCAATAAGTATACCTTTATTTAACCTTCTAATTTAGGTCTGATTTCAAAAAAAATTTAATTGCACAATATTGTCATGGCGAAATTTACAAAACAATAACCGATTTCTTTATTTTTCAAATAATAAGAGAATAAGAGTTGCTTTTAGAGACTTGAAAAAATGTAACGCATCGATTTTTTACCACAAATCCCATACATATCAATTTTTACTAACGCCCCGAGTGGATTTCCTGACCGTTTTCCAAAAATCAAAAACATTTTAGAAATATTGTCCTCGAGATCTTGTTGCTCTGTGAATTTTACCAGGATTGAATAAGAATAAAGCATCTTATTTTTAGGTTAACTAAACTTGACAAAATGTAACGCTTGTCGTTTTTGACGTTATAATGTTGATTGCGCCCTATACTGCCCATTGTATTGTTTTGATATTTTGACGCCATAATGTTACTCTAATTATCCCCAGTTTCGTGCGACGTGTAAGAGCAAGTTTCACTTGTTCTGACTTGCTCGAAATAAGATAATATCATCAAACGGTAATTTTTCACGAGGTTGCGCTTTTGGAACCGCAGCACTTTATTGGCTTCGTATGTGTAGTCATGGGCCTTCTAATTGAAAGCCCATGGTGTAGTCCAGTGATGTCAATACCTAGGTATTACGTATGGGATGTGTGTTGTCGAATTAAGGGTTTCCCTAGCAACTGTGATCCACTCGATTACGCTGGTTACCGAAAGGGTTCGCTTCGGTAACAAAATGTTGGAAACTCGAAGGTAAGATTTTTCTTTTTTGCTTATTTCACGCGTTGGAGGAGAATTCCCACGACATTTTTATCACAAACGTGTGTCAGTATCATATGTTTAAGAAAATGTACACGTTTGCGAACAAATAGTTCAGAAGACAACATTATCGTCGATTTAGTACTCACTTTAGTTACGTAAGCTGAATTTCAAAAACGGTTAAGATTTGCACTTCTAATCCGTTCCGTATACGTAACAATAGTGAACATACAGGATGGTTCAAAAAATCATTCACACTTTTGACAACGAAGCATTTTTTAACGACAGGAAGATTTCCCAATTTTTTCCCATAGACCTGTCCTACAGATATGTACGTTTTTTGTGGTGTAAGTTTTATTTTGATATACCACCGTAATGAGAGAACAGGGTCAATAGTTTGTGATGTGCCAAATCCAAGCTCTTTGGTGCTCAATCGCTGTAATTAATTGCACATTTAAGTTCTGTAATGACCTAATCGAAACTCCACTTTTTGGCTCAGGTTTAGCCTTCTGTGGATCAGCAACAAACATGTGGTGGAGAGAAGTTGACTGGTGAAAGTTTGGACATAATGATGATACTGGAGGGCGTACTGGCTTAAGGATGCTAATTGACGTTCTTTTCAATGAACATGGACTGATACATTGAAGTTATGAGAAGACAGACTCATCTCCTATTGTATGGATCACAGCTGACCTGCACATTCTCAAGACATATCCCCTATAAAGGTTTTGATGGGGATACTTTAAAGGCAGGATCTATATGCAAAAAATCTCTAATGATGAGTTAAAAATATCAAAACAGAGATCAGGAGAATTCCTTATTATTCAATGCTTTATTGTACTAAAAATCCCTTTCGTGTGAGTGTACAGCAAATAAACATGATAAAATAAAACTAAAACTATACATACAATTACAATAACATACAATGCAATTTTACATGGCATATAATGACAACATGGGCAGCAGGGACATTACAATGTGTGTAAGGAACTTGGGTTGAGCACAGCCTTGTGTTATTGATCTAGATCTGTGCTCCCATTGTGGTGTTAATTACATGTCCATAGGACAGGTCTATGAAAAATGGGAAATCTTCTTATCTTTAGAAAATGCTACAAAATCAAAGGTGCGAATGATTTTTGAACAGCCCTGCGTATGATACTGACACACGTTGTGTGATAAAAATGTCGATGGAATTCTGCCTACAACGCGTGAAATAAGGCAAAAGGAAAAATCGTACTTTCAGGTTCCGATTTTGTAACCGAAACGAAGCAGCGTAATCGAATGAATCACCAGTGCCTAGCATGATATAATTGTGGTTGACCTTTGTGAATATTCAGCACATAGCATTTTGATGGATAGAATTTCATTTGCCATTGTATTTCAGATGCCGGAGTTCACGACACTGCCGATGGCTCCATCTGTCCGTATTCCTCGGGCAAAAGTCTATGAAAATAACCCCGTCCAATCGTTGTTGCGACAATCACAAACTCTAGACAGTCAGTTCAGAAGAGGTGAGAGAAACGGAGAGAAAAGAGTTCCAACTCCATACTCTATCTGGAAGCCTGGTGATATAAAACCATTTCTCGCTGAACCATCTGGGACATTTCCAAAATCTCAACAGGGTAATTGGATGAAGGCTTACATGTACCCCCAAACCGGATCTCTTGTAAGAACGGGGTGCTCAGAAACAATTTTGTCTCCGTCACATGACGTAACAGATTCCAGAAAGCAAGAACTTGAAGAATCGTTATCAAAGGAGGTCCAAAGCATGATCTTTGGCACAAACCTGAGTCCTACAAACAGTGAACTGACAACGGCTCAGAAAGAACCAATTGATAAAGGTGTGCAAGTAAAACCACCTATGGAAACCCAAAATTCTCAACCAAATGACGTCAAACCGACACATAATCAAGTACAACGACCAACGAGTCTAGCAGTTGTGAAGAACTATCCAATGAAGTCGACATTGAAAGTCCCCCCATTAGTAGACCAGCATCCCAGCCGCACGTCGTCAGAAAGATCGGAAAGACTATACGTTGCAAGGTCACAAAGTCGGTCAGCGGATGACAGCGTATTTCTACCAAATGATGACCCCAAGAACCCTTACAACAACGCCGATGTCCTACAGAATTTACCATACTTCTATCGCTACAAGGCACGGAGTTTACATAAGAAACAAAACAAGACTTGCGGAGAGATGTGCTGGGAGTACACAAGAAACTTTTGTTATTTCTTAAGAACCTGTCGATTTCGAGAAGGTTTGTTTGGTTTCGTTTATTTGATTAAAAATTCGTTAGAATCTGGAAGTCTATTGGTTTTGCCTGTTTTCCTCAAATTTTACAATTCTAATTTTCTTCAGACCCATTGACCATGGGATACCAAAAATAGCGATTTTGATATTTAAAAGCGCCGTAACTTCTAAATTGAAAGTCGGATTGAATTTTGATTAGCAGATCCAGATTCCTGAGAAAACTCTACACTTATTTCATAACCCACACGTTTAATTTGGAGAACTTTTTTTTTTGATCTACTTTCCGGATGCCATATCTCAATAGACGGGGACCTCAACATCTACTTTGCGTCAAAATTTGATTTCTACAAGGCCTAGTGTTACGCGGTATATGGCATACATTCATCGTTGCGCGGTATTTGTGATACGGGTGAACATGCCATACTCACCTGCGGTATATGGCATATTCTGCAGGTGAGTATGCGATATTCCGCAGTGAATATGCGATACATTGATTTCAGTGAAAACCCGATACTCACCTGCGGAATATGTCATACTCACTTGCAGGTGAAAACGTGATACAGAAAGCCTTGATTTGATTGGTTGCGAGAATCGACTCTTAATGTAAAACTACGCTGGATTACCAATATATTTAGTGCGTCGAGTACTAATATATGAATCCTGGATTGATTGGGTAAGTTTATTACGCGAGATTGGTGACTGATTACCCTTTGCATTCGTTTGACTTCACTTCTTAAAAGAGAACTTCGTCTTCTTGTAGTTTAACTAGACTCTGCACGCAGGGTAGTGACTGATACTTCTGCTAAGTTAATATATCCGATACACAGTACTGTTGATTCAGTAATCATTATAATAATTTATAACGTTTTACTTGTTCGTTCAATCGATGCAATTTACATTGCGTACTTCCGTATCACGTTCTCATTGGTTAGTGTGTATGTGATATACCGCAGGTGAATCTGTCATACACCGCAAGTGAATATGCCATATTCGTTGCGGAATATGACATGTTTTTGTATCGTGTTTACCGCGTAACACCTAGGTCAAAATCTGGTATATAGATAGCAACGAGTATGCTAATAGGATAGCCTTTTGCCGTCGTCAGGAAGTATTTTGACCCACTTTAATAAATAACGCATAATATATCCCAAGGGATATTTCCTGTATCTAAACCGACCGACTGTTTTATTCCATACCTGATGAGATTTGCAATAGTAAGCATGTATTCGAAGGGCCAGGGTTCCCCATGTGTGGCCAGTACTCCTTAAGAAGAAAAAACGTTTTGTCCCGCCCATTTCCGCTCACGAAAATCGTATTCATTTCCCAATCTCGCTCACGAAAATAGTATTCACCTCCCGGGAATTATTGCCAAACAAAGCTTCCTATTTTGTTTAGTTGGGTAGATGAAGCGTGATATAATGATGTTCTCATGTGCGAAACTATATTTTCGAAACGAAGTAGAAATTAAAGACTTTAAACATATAATAGGCAAATTGAAATCAAACAAACGCAACCGCAATAAAACCGAATAACTTTTCAACCATAGTGTTTCGGCACCTAAAATTTGGCATAACTTATCCTCATTAGATGTGTGGTAACTCTATAAAGTTTCATCAAAATCACTTCAGGCACTTAACAGTTATTGTCATTTAGAGCACATGCTCTAAATGTCAGCCACCACTCTGCAGGCACAGCTGTACTCCCGTACGTAGAGAAGTTGCGGACCACCTGACTGCATTCAGCTGGTGTGGCTCACGATCTTCTTGTTATCCCATCTATAAGCATGGCACACTGTCGGATGAGACTTTGGGTAGTAGGTGGCCGTTTTGAAAGATAACCACCAATTTTACGTTTTTTTATTTTACTATAACTCGAAAAGTACTTAGTGGCGCGATTTTGTTCATATTTGATTTGTGAATACTCATGAGCCTAATGCACACTGTCTAATGACACTTTGGGAAGTAGGTGACCATTTTAAAAAATGGCCGCCATTTTTACATTTTTTACTGTAACTCGAAAAGTAGTGGCGTGATTTTGTTCATATTTTATATGTGAATACTATAAGCATGACACATTGTCTAATAACACTTTGGGGAGTAGTCGGCCATTTTGAAAACAATGTACGTGTGTTATTTTACATTTTTAAGTATAACTCAAAAAGTAATAGAATGGTTTTCTTCATATTTGAAATGTGAATATGCATTGTACACTGTTTTACGACATTTTGGGTAGTAGGCGGCCATTTACACACTATCCTACTTGATCGCGTATGCTCGAGATTTTTGGCTTTCAACCAGGTCGCTTTTGAGTATATCGACTGTTTAGTCAACAGGTTAATACGTTTGGTGCTCGGTGTGAGTCAATATTGGAGAGGTTAAGCTACCGTATAAAATCCAAAACGCAACTTAAACGTATCAATCGCCCCTATACAAATACATGTAGAGTTCACACATAAATAGCCGTTCAGCTCTAGTGTTTGTTTAGACTACACCATAGCTTGTAATGATTACATAGTATGCCATTGATGAAGTTCAATAGCTGGTTTTCTAATACATATTTTAAACGAGCTCGTTTCGTAAGATTAGATTTTCGTAAAAATTAGCACATGATTATTGCTGCCATTTTGAATGTTGACTAGACTAGTTCTGTATAATTAGTCTATTTCTGTATAATTAGTCTATTTGAAGAAAGTGGATTCATAATATTATAACTATGCTTAACTCATACTTTTAACTCTGAAAACTATTACCAGATCGATGTAGTCTTACATGATATGTTGAATGTCAGATATTTTGGATGACATCTGCTCCAGTGATTTTGCATTAAATCATGAAACACTCATCACCAGACACCTCAAAACAAAAACTATCCTATTTGTGACAAGAGGAAAAATGTTTTACAATATGTTCTGCCTTGCGGCAAAGTAAAGATACCTTTCTGAGACGACTTTTTATTCATCTTAAGATTTTAAAAAACAATTAATTCACAAAAATACAGTTGAATAACATACTAGAAAACGTATCTACATATTACACAATGGCACGCAGTAATGTCAAAAGAAGTAACATATTCGAAGTGAAACTTACACGCTCCTTGCACATCAATTACTGAAATGTAGCTTGTATTGCTTTCACGTTTTACTTCACTGCGCCCACTATTCTCTACCCACGTCATCCATTTGCAACTTAACTGTACCACGTTTCCCTTTAAACTTGGTCACGTGGTAGGGTAGTCTGATGACCGACATTTACATGTACGTGTGTGCGATTGTTTTAAAATTTTATATGTGCCTACTTAAAAGCATTTTACACTTTATGATGACAATTTGGCTAGTGAGTAACCATTTTGAAAATGGTGGCCTTTCTTACGATATTTTATATATATTCCGTCTGTAAAAATGCCAACCATTGCTGTTCGATAGGATTTGCTACGCTTTGGCGTTGCTGTTGTCGAGTGAATCTCTTTTGAGATCAACAAAACTTGCCGGATTATTCTGGTAAACATTAACACTCTTAAAAATGAATTACTTGAGTATTTCCCAAGTATTTCCCAAGTATAAAAATTACTTAAAGTTAAATACTTAGTTTTACTTAGGTTTAACTTATATTGTCATTTTGAGTTTTTTAATTGCTTAATTATGTAAATGAGTATTACAATTACTACAGTAAGTATTTCAATTTCTCTCCTTGCATTAGTAAATTCACCATAAATGAATTACTTAAAAATTACTTAAAAATTATTCAGTAGTTCAAGATTATTTAAGTAATTTTTGACTTAAAATGAGTAGTACAATTTCTCAATATAAGGAAATCCAAGTAATAATTTTTAAGAGTGATCCTTCAAGAACCTCCACAGATAAGAGCCTGGGGGCTCATGTCAGGACTATGTGGGGCCCATTCAATTGCCAGCCTGCGTCTAACGATCCAATCGTTAAAGTATTGTCTCAGCCACTCCAGGGTCAGATCAGATCAATAAGGTGTGGCTCCGTCTCGCTGGAACCACTGTTCATCACAAACCTCTCCCCCAATCTTTAAAACTTTTTAAGAACTGTTTTGTACCGCTCAGTGTTGATGGTGAGGCCACTTTCATTATTGTCCTCGAACCGGTAGTGCGCAATGATGACATCTTAAATGGCTTAGTGCACATAAGACTGTGCATTTTTCGAATGCAATTTTATCTAACTTTGTAAAATGGTGCACTCGCTGTTTTGTTTCTTTGAAATTGATATATAAAAACGTAAATATTCATACATACATACAGATTATGTTTTTGAACACTGCGTTTTGAAGCATTTCTCTATTTTGAGCAGATGTCCAAGGTATTTTGGTTTTCAACTTACTAACTACATGAAATATACATTCAAGGTCTCTTCTTTCGAATTCTTTCCTGAAAAGATTAACGCAATTGGTTCAGTATTTTCCGAGATATAGTATTTTTTCGTTTGCGTTTTTTTGACCACCCTGTAGGTAAATTGTAATTTCATCATCATGCTCTGACATTGACAGTCAACGTCTAGAAATCTGAGCAATAAGTGAATGCTGTGTGATGACCATGTACATCATATTGTTAAGTTGCATATGTTCATGTTATACAACAATTTTTTATTTTAAAATGTCATAAAGTTTGTAGACTAATTATATGGGTCATATCATGGGATAAAAAACTTATCTACTGGTCGGGATTAAATATGGGTTTGTTCCTCGTGACAATTTGATATTTCCCTCTGGCCCTCTGTGCCCTCCTAGGCTTACTTTCAGGACTTTCATCGTTAAGAGCCCCACATGCTGTTAAGTTTAAAGTTTTGTAAAGATAGCGCTGTTTCATTTCAGGAGAACAGCTGAAACACCTGGCACCGAGTAGGAAAGGGCGGGATAATGTCGCATTCACATTTATGATGATTGTCATTACGTTCTCTCTCTTGTCTTTTTTTGCTGGACTCATCTACTTTGGAAGTAAGTTAGCCTACTTTGTAGCATGGTATAGATTAGCTGAACTAAAATAGTCAACCAGAATATGCAAAAAATGGAGTTTGCGAGCGCTGCACGAAACTCCATTTTAGACTTCACCAAACCTGCTTAAATTGTTACGCACTCAATATAAGTATATATAATATGTGTGTAAGCACCAACTTGATTAGAAAAGTATAGAAATGTATTTTGAATACTTTGGTGTTTCTTTTTAAATTACGTTCCTTAAAGAAATCACCCCTCCCTCTTCATCCATGTGAAATGACAGTTTCAGAATGTAAACCAATGTATGTTTGTTACCAAATATGTCCTGGTTCGAATCGTATGTTTAACGTTTTGTTGTATATCAACGTTTCCATAATATTAAAAGCGAAATAAAGAAAATTGTAACTAATTTAAGTGAAAACATTACACACCATAGTCTATTCAACCAAAATAAACGCCATTTCCTTTACAGTTACCCATAGCTATATGGCATCGACTAACGAAAGAGCCGCTGCGAAAACTGTAACCATAACGGATACAGGTAAAGTAACTTTGACAACTGTTAGGAACAATTTCAATCAACATAAAAGAGGGTCTCAACCAAATAATAACTATAAAATGGTAATATAACTATACCTTCCAGTTATACATGTATATTGACCTTTGTCCAACTGGATGCGATGCGTATTTGAATATTTGATATTCATGATTTGTCAAGTTTACCTTTCAGAGATTCTTCTTGACTCTGGAACGAATACGAGCATTGATGTATGTAGTAGTGCCCAGCTTATGGTGCGTGTCATACTTGCACAGGCTTGTTCTGATGTCAATATACCCGATTTCAACATTGCACAACAGCATTACTGCTCGTACGTACCAGTTCAAGTCGTGTTTCAACATTGCACAACAGCAATTACTGCTCGTTACCAGTTAAAGTCGTGTTTCAACATTGCACAACAGCAATTACTGCTCGTACGTACAAGTTCAAGTCGTGTTTCAACATTAGCAAAATAGTCGTATTTCAACATTGCACAACAGCAATTACTGCTCGTACGTACCAGTTCAAGTCGTGTTTCAACATTAGCAATAGTCGTGTTTCAACATTGCACAACAGCAATTACTGCTCGTACGTACCAGTTCAAGTCGTGTTTCAACATTAGCAATAGTCGTGTTTCAACATTGCACAACAGCAATTACTGCTCGTACGTACCAGTTCAAGTCGTGTTTCAACATTAGCAATAGTCGTGTTTTAACATTGCACAACAGCAATTACTGCTCGTACGTACCAGTTCAAGTCGTGTTTCAACATTAGCAATAGTCGGGTTTCAACATTGCACAACAGCAATTACTGCTCGTACGTACAAGTTCAAGTCGTGTTTCAACATTAGCAATAGTCGTGTTTCAACATTGCACAACAGCAATTACTGCTCGTACGTACCAGTTCAAGTCGTGTTTCAACATTAGCAAAATAGTCGTATTTCAACATTGCACAACAGCAATTACTGCTCGTACGTACAAGTTCAAGTCGTGTTTCAACATTAGCAATAGTCGTGTTTCAACATTGCACAACAGCAATTACTGCTCGTACGTACCAGTTCAAGTCGTGTTTCAACATTAGCAAAATAGTCGTATTTCAACATTGCACAACAGCAATTACTGCTCGTACGTACAAGTTCAAGTCGTGTTTCAACATTAGCAATAGTCGTGTTTCAACATTGCACAACAGCAATTACTGCTCGTACGTACCAGTTCAAGTCGTGTTTCAACATTAGCAAAATAGTCGTATTTCAACATTGCACAACAGCAATTACTGCTCGTGCGTACAAGTTCAAGTCGTGTTTCAACATTAGCAATAGTCGTGTTTCAACATTGCACAACAGCAATTACTGCTCGTACGTACAAGTTCAAGTCGTGTTTCAACATTAGCAATAGTCGTGTTTCAACATTGCACAACAGCAATTACTGCTCGTACGTACCAGTTCAAGTCGTGTTTCAACATTAGCAATAGTCGGGTTTCAACATTGCACAACAGCAATTACTGCTCGTACGTACAAGTTCAAGTCGTGTTTCAACATTAGCAATAGTCGTGTTTCAACATTGCACAACAGCAATTACTGCTCGTACGTACAAGTTCAAGTCGTGTTTCAACATTAGCAATAGTCGTGTTTTAACATTGCACAACAGCAATTACTGCTCGTACGTACCAATTCAAGTCGTGTTTCAACATTAGCAATAGTCGTGTTTCAACATTGCACAACAGTAGTTACTGCTCGTACGTACCAGTTCAAGTCGTGTTTCAACATTAGCAATAACTTTCTTGATATTTCAATGATTAAACTATAGTGCAAAACCATTTCAAGATCTTTTCTAAGTTTTTGCGACATAAATTATATATTTTTTTCATTTCAGGAAACTGAATGCCGCCATTTCTTGCATACACAAAGGCATGCCTGGTATTATTGGGTTTTTCTGCACGCTGCAAGACATTAGGAAGGCGATACTGGAGCGTGATTATCAAATCGACATAAATTTGGACGAAACACAATCTGATTCTAAATTGAAAACCAATTGTTGGAATGCGACGTCTGATAGGCGAAAAAGACATAACATGAATTAATATTCGATTATACTGTATAATACCCCAAACTAATGAAATGCATTCAGAAGATGATCACTGGAGTGGTTTGAAAAATGAAAGCAAAATCAAATTAATTGCAAAACGTTCTAGTTTCTACTTGTTTATTTAATAAAGCAGAACAAAATATTGACAACTATCAGTCTGTATATGTTAATTCATTTTTATTTTCATAATGCAATTTGGCTCACAGACCTTTCATGACCTAGAATATTTACAATATCTGTATATTCACAAATTAATTACTGTTGCTAAATAGTTAGTTTGTCAAATGATTTGAATAGTTGGTTGATTCCAAATCCCTGAATTCAAAGTTAAAAACTTTAGGGCAGAAAAGTTACATGCAAAATCTTATTATTAGAGCTATTTTCTGCTTATGCTTTTATTAATTTCAGACACAAGCTTTTGTTTTGTATTTTGTTAACATGAAACTATGCACAGGCAAATTATATCGGGCGTTCGAAGATTACGAGTCAGTACGGGCAAAAAGGAGCACACTCCTCGTACCTGTCCCTGGGGCGCAGCCAGCTTTCAGCCAGGGGTTGGGGATGCGATCGTGGCATAAGCAAGGCGAAATTCTTTTAAGAATTGTTTTGAATTTTACAAAAGTTGAGGCAACTTCCTTCAAAATTGAGCAAGAAGCTTCAAATAAAAAGCATCTTAAAGCTCTATTCCTCTATTTAATGGTTCTATTTTTATTGGTTATGGGGGCTATTGGAAGTACGAGTCCCGTTATTATAATTTCGAAGCCCGAACGAGCATGTACGAGGCTCGTAATTGAACTATTATTTAAGGACTAAAAAGCACGAAAAGGAAATTATTTATCAGCTATTGTTCGATTTGACCTTAGCCACTGTATACGTATACGTTTAACTTCTTATTTAACATGTTATTTTAAGGTGCTATGGAAGTTAACAGGAAATGACAAAACAAAAAGTGACAAAACCATGCTGGATTTTGAAAAAAATTTGAAACAAGATAACAGAGTTCTGTTTTACCTCCAGCCAGTTTAACTGGTTTCACTTATCATTTACATGACCGGGAACACAATGGAAATGGTCAGAATGACCATAAACATGATGAAATAACCTTTTCAGCCCTCTGAAAATGTGACTGGAAAATAGCTAAGAGTACGTGCTCAGGAAAGGTCACTGAACAGAATCTTTTGACTTTTTCAGAAAATGTGCCCAATATATTGCTCTAAATGATACAATTTAAAAACATTGATATCATTCTTAGAAAAAGAAAAAAATGAAAAAAAGCTGAATTGAAAATCTATCTCTTTTCCTTTTTACTACAGCTATTATTGTTTCAGACAATTTTTTAAAATTTCAAAGATTGTATCATTTAGAGCAATATATTGGGCACATTCTGAAAAAATCAAAAGATTTTGTTCATTGACCTTTCCCGAGCACCTACTTTTAGCTATTTTTCAGTCACATTTTCAGAGGGCTGAAAAGGTTATTTCATCATGGTTATGGTCTTTCGGATCCTACGCTAACCCTAACAATCCAAATAACTTGATGATGCAGAAGGTAATGTATTTATATGCACGTTTCCCATGAGTTGATAAATATTGTGTCAATCTGATTCCTACTTTTACAGGGTGTCCCAAAAGTATGCCCCCTCCCCCTAGGCAGACTTACCAATGTATCCATAGTACAGGGTGACCGGAAAAAAAGGAGACCATTGAAGTAATCAATTTCTCCTAAACTAGACAAGTGCCATCAATGAAATTTTGCATACACTGGAACAGTTATATGGAAATTTGTTACTGAAGGTTTCAATACAAGCATTCAACTGGTTCAGGAGCTATGATCATTTACATAACATGCTCCAAATAGGCACAATTGAGACCAACGCAGAGTTGGATTCATATGGCAAACTACCCTTACATGTTCTGCCCTCTATGGCATTATTATGGCATTACATATAGCAGTGATTGCCTTCTTTAGGTCAACAATAGTCTGAGGATTGTTTTGGTATAGATTGTCTTTCAAATATCCATACAAAAAGAAATCAGCAGGATTCAAGTCTAGGCTGTAATGGCAATGAAGGGTTATCTGACATGTGGTTCATCATCCTGTTGCCAAAGTGCTGATTTACCCAATCTTAAGAGTCACTTTAGGTATTGGGCATAGTGCCATGTTACTAAAACCACTATATGGCACAATTAAATCCCATATGGAAACCAAGGGCTGCCCAAAACCTCCTTAGGATGATACTGTAACTGAGTGGGACCACTGAGTCAGAAGCCATAGGTCAGATAAGCTTCGTCTCCATACACCTCAAATTTGAATCCACCTGATTTCTTTTTGTGGGGCAATTTGAAAGACAATGTGTACCAAAACAATCCTGAGACAATTGCTGACCTAAAGGTGGCAATAAATGCTAAATGTAATGCCATAACAAGGTCGGAATATGTAAGGGTATTTGCCAAATGTATCCAGCTCTGCGTTGGTCTCAATTGCGCCTATTTGGAGCATGTTATGTAAATGATCATAGCTCCTGAACCAGTTGACTGCTTGTATTGACACTTTCAGGAACAAATTTCCATAGAACTGTCCTGATGTATGCAAAATTTCATTGATGTCACTAGTCTATTTTAGGAGATATTGCCTATTTCAATGGTCTCCTTTTTTTCCGGTCACCCTGTGTGCCACATATCATTTCAAAGCGTATCCAAAGTTACATTGATTTGCCAAGTATCATGGTTAATTCAACTCACAAATGATGAAAGGTTACAGGCATTTCAAAACTTAGTGCACGGGCCCAGATGTAATTTGCCTGTGTACATATGTATACCTGTTATAAATCTATGTCGGCAGACCAGTTGGCAGAATATGATAATGTCTTGTAATATATTATTTTCGTGATATGTTGCTAGCACAGAACGACATAAAGAATTTATTCATACCTTTATGTAATTCATATTCACTCTTTACCAGATTTTGTTGATTGTTTGTTGTACTTAGTTTATGGTATCAAAAGTATTACATGTTTTATTTATGGGTATGGCGTTAGACCTTTCATCATTCGAACACATGGGTTCAAATTCATTTCAGCAGTTTACATTCTTGATATATTCTAGCCCTACTTTCGAATAATGATAACGAGGTATTTTCTAAATCGAACGTTTAGCTTCGTTTTTTTATCGTTACGCTCTGGTAATATCATCCATCTATATGGTTAATACCAGTGCTAACATTATGATAAAACTGATGGTCTGGTAGTATCATTCATCTATATGGTTAATACCAGTGCTAACATTATGATAAAACTGATGCAAGTGAATGCATGGTGAGCCGTCGTAGCTCCGTTTCCCGTTTGATTTGCGTCATTAGTGTTAGGACTACCAGAATCTAGGTCAGTGTTACCACCAGAATTCGTACCACCACCTTCAGGCTGTGGATTTGCACTTGTTGTTGTGGTTGTTGTGACAACGTCCGCTGAGTCGCTTACTTCTTTTCCTCCAAGGGCAACGTCGACTGGAAAAATTCATTTCTTGGCGTTGGTATTTTGAAGAATAGTTCATGGATATCAATTGTTGAACAAAGCTAGCAAGTACGGAGTCGATAGTAAGCGGTGTATAGCATTCTTTTAAAGGGTTATTGATCAAATCGAAGATGGCAGACTAATTATATCAAACCTTCCTTGATCAATTTACAAGAGAAACCACGCGACTGTCCAACATTGTCGTACCTACATACATCAGTACTCACTAAGTGGTTTTGTAGACAATGCTCTTTGTGTGTAAATGGCGTCTCTCTCTGCTTTGGTCGCTACGACATCAGCATCCCAACATGTGGTATACATGTCTTGGTTGCCATTAAAACGCCAGATCCACAATATTGCATACCGACCTAAATGGAGAAAATATTGTTCGACAAGTTGGCTTTAGGTGGACCGTTTAATGTGTCTCTTGTGTTTGTTTGAAAATTGTTATTTTGACAGAGCTGTTTTATATTTTCAAATATTTATAAAGGCACACGAATTAAATATATATTTAGTGGCTTTTCGGTAAAAAATCGCAAAACTGCATATCAAAATACAATAAATATCATGACAAAATTGCCAATTGATTGAGCAATACAAGGTTGTACTAACTGGGCTAGCCGTTTAATAATCATACCTGGTTCCAAGTCGGGCAAGGTGACGTTATTGGTTGCCAACGCTTTATCTGGATTTTCACAGAACTTCGGGGCATTTTGGAACCCTTCTTTAGGGTATGTTGTTGTAACGGCATTGGGAACGTTATTCCCGAATGGAGATATACCAAGGTCGGCAAGTGGATTGTTAAGGAACTCTGCTAATGTTGGAGTTCCCTGGGCATCTTTAGGTCCTATATACAGTTCATTGCCATTGTCAGGGATATACTTACTTGTGCATCTTACATCAGCCACGTGGTTCTGAAAACATCACATTTGATTGAAGGGTATAGTACTTACATTGATTAAACGGTTTCTGCATTATTCACATGTCGAGAAAATGTATGTACCTCTGTCTAAAATACCTATATCAAGATTAGTTCGGAGATATGTTGGGGCTATATAATATATCACTAACCAAGCCAGGCCCGTAGCCAGGGGGGGGGGGGGGGGGTTCGATGGGCCTGCAGGCGACAATGGACGAAATAAAAAACAGCTTTTGCTCTATTTTGATTTTTGGCTTGTAATTAACGTTCTTAACTAACCTCACAACGACAGGCTATTATTTTTTACAAAGTTAATGTGTTAAATCAAAATGGAAAATATCTCCATTATAATATAAATGGATAAAAAACGTCATTCATTCTATCTAAATATGTCAGTATTGTAGAAAAACGATGTCATGTCTCGGATCAGGTAATTGATAAAGCGTGTCGAGTAGGCTATTTTCACTGTGCCAGGAGACTAGACATTTGTTGCCGGAAACCAGCTAGTGCCAAAACATGTCAATGGATTATCCTTAACGAGACTACATTTACGAACTACTTTGTTAGATCGACCCAGCTAAGACATGATTCAGTGAGTGAAGCATTCCAATTCTGGTTCTCAGCATTCTTCCTGTCCCACCAACAAAATGGTCTGATATCTCGCCACTTTTTATCTGAGATAATTTGATCATGGAAGTTACAATTGTTTTGAAGTGTGATAAAGTATGTTCATCACATGTTTTATAACTCCAGCTTGAGGTCCACAAATATTAGTGTCATTTAAGTTATTTAAGATTTAAATGGGGAAAGATGTTGGAATTCTCAAAAATAATAAATATGCAGGTAACAATCATATTCATAGAGAATTAATAGAAAAGACAAGATGCGAGTAGAAATACCATTGATTTACGTAATTAAATATTCAAAATTCAGTCAAAGTGATATCATATTCGAAATCTACACGTAAAGTTACATCTAGAACTCAGGAACTGCTGTTTTAAAAAGTGTATCAACTATGATCAACTATGATCAAATTCAATCAACTATGAAAATTTGTTTTTCTTTGAAAATGTGACTTCTAGGTAGGGGAAATTCTCCAAAGACCCCATGTTACAACTTACAAAATCAGAAAGTGAAATATCTTTTCTTTTTTGGCCAGGCAATATTTTTACTGGACATATTTTTTGTATAACTGTGACATGTCGCAAAAAGGTGGCGCATTTGTTTTTTAAAGCCCGGTATACACCAATGGGGCAAAATCCCACTTGCCCCATCGAGTCCCATCTTGCCCCATCGAATCCCAATTTGCCCCATCGAATCCCACGAAGTCCCATGGGACCTTGATGACTTTGCCCCATCGTGCCCAATGGAGTCCCATCCCATCAAGCCCCATTGAGTCTCATCAAATCCCATCGTGCCCCATTGGTGTATGTTGGGCTTCACACAACACGTCATATGATCGAAAATCCCACGATGCCCCATGGAAAGAATGAACATGTTCATTCTCGATGGGACTCCATGGGATTCCGTGGGATTTTGCCATCTTGCCCCATCGAGTCCCACCGAGTCCCACGTGGGACTTCATGGGACCTCGTGGGACTCGATGGGGCAAGATGGGGCAAAATCCCACGGAGTCCCATGGAGTCCCACGGACTTCATGGGGCAAAATCCCAAAAGGTCCCACGCAATGTTAAGTCTATGGAGGTCCCAACTTGCCCCATCGGTGTATACCGGGCTTAAGGGTATCGCGTGAATGTAACTTTGATTCCCCGGATTATAAGATAATATTCTACAGGGTGGGCCAAAAAAAACGCCACTTTTTTTTCAAGACACTATAACTTTTTTATTTTCCAACCTACATACCCCAAATTTTGCAGTTATATAGTGCCAAGGGTTCTTAGTAATAATATAATGTAACAAGTCCTTCAACTGGGATTATATTTGATCTAAAAAGAGGAGTTCAATTGGTCCGCCACCCCATTTTGATGATCGATTTTAGTTTTAGTCGCCTTGCTGATATAGCAGTATCAATGAAATGTTAGCTATATTTATTTTATATATGTTTCAATGTATCTTAATTGCCAGCTTTAGTTAAGCAATTTTTTAGATCGGGTGCCTTCATACCATCTCCTGGAGACCTCCCCATGCCCTATCACTTGGGTTTGAATTAGGGCTATTAGTTTGCGGTCATCAGGGCGTATCAGTTTAGGAACATTATGCAAATTATGCTTATTTCTCATGGTACACCACATGTTTAAGTGAGATGCTGGTGACATATTTTATTCAAGTAAAAGTGTATAATTCATGATCAATGGCTAGATAACAACCTCAATTTTCATTTGGTATGTGAATTATGATTTTGTATCAAAAATTAAAAAAGTTATAGCATTTTGAAAAAAAGTGGCGTTTTTTTGGCCCACCCTGTAATTAAAGTTATACATCATTTTAAAGCTGTTTCGATGAAGTTTTTAGATCAACTACACTCCGTTCACAATTCTTGCGCGTTCTTTTTTAAAAAGAGTTTTTTCCAAAACATCTGGCAAATATCCCCTGTTGACACGTTACATTTTGAATTATTTTTTGTCTTTAAACGCTCATTACCTTAATATCTGACTATTATACTTATTTTTCGTCTTGATAAAGGTAGATGGAAGTTTTATTTCAAAGGATGAATTTTAGTAAGCGTCCCATATTGTGACGTCATAGAGTTTGAAAAATAGAATCTGTTGACAGCGACCTTTTTTGCTCATTTTTTGTTACCTTCAACTTTTCAGGTGTACATTAAACAAAAAATATGAGATCAATTTTTAATAAATCATACATGATTATTTTGCTCTTAAACTCTAGTATTAATATATAGTTGATTTTGTTCGCAAAAGTATGTGTTTTCTGTTGTATGTGGAAAAGTGGAGGACGAAAGGTTTTCAAAATTCATTAAAATAGGGCTAATTTACGCCATTCACCTGTTTTCAAGCACCGCAACACGTATATTTATTTCAACTAAATATCAATTGATTCGTGTTTTATGATGCTCCTAACCCATTGTTGGATTACATGGGGATGACGATTTTCAAAAATTCATCAAATTTATCATAACTTTTCGACCTATTGTAATTGAGGAAAAAAATTGAGAAAATTTGGAGCTATTGGAAATAAAGTCAAGTTATGTTTCCATCAATATTATAAGTTATTTCATCGCCGGTTAAGTAAATAAAAATTCAAACGTAAAGAGGCTTAAACACATAGTTCAAGGTGGGGGCCTAAGGTTGCCAAACTTATGGAGGGAGTGTATGTACATGTACTTTTTTAGAAAATAGAAATGACAGGGAATAAAATGAGCCCAAATTATTCCAAAATTGACACAATCTTTTTAAGGTTGCTCGTTAGATCTGACTTTCATGACATCTCATGACTGACAAGAAACGATTTTTTAGATAATTAGTTTACGAGCCATATCCCATATATACACCCTTACGCCCTTATATTCTTAAAAGGGTTCAAGAAACGATTACTCAATGTAGGGTCTTTAGATATAAGGTGTGTACTAGATCCAATCACCAGACATGGAATGCTTACCTTTGTTGGGTGTGTGATGACAAACTGTTGACCAGGGTAGTACACTGCCATCGGGTGTGCAGCCGTGTATTTTGTATCATCTCTTGGAAACTCACAGGCGTTGCCCGTAGTTCCAGGTCGGCTATCATACCCCGTGTCTCTTCCAAATTGACCCGTTTTTGGCACATATCGCTCCCCTTCCCTCGGGTATGCTCGACAGAGGTCGTGCTCGTAGTCCTCTCCGTTCTTTTCCAGGTAATCAACACAATTTACCCAAGAATGGGATTCGGCTAAATAGAATACGTTGAAAATTAGAATTATGCATTTGAATAAAAACATATTTTCTTTGTTGGTTGGCAATGGAATTATGAATGATTGGTGATTTTGGTAAAACGTAGATAAACTAAATCCGGATTATAAGGGATGATGTTATATATTTAGATTGCCCTGTTTACCAGGAGACCGTGATTATTGAATCGTACTTCATGATTCATAAAAGTGTGTCATGACGCTGTGATCGTGTCTTCTGGTACAAACTACACCCTTCTTCCCATAGATGCTAGTATGAATGGATGAAACGACCATAGGCAATATAATGATGTAAATACAAGAGAAAGTATAGATACATGTACATAGACTGTGGACTATTCTGTAGAAGTGCTCTAGAAATGCATTCTGCTTTTCATGGAAGGTCACACATTCCAACATATTTCAAACAATCTGTATGATAATGCTGGACACTTTCTGGGTAGTTGGACTTCATGTAGGGGCGGCAGACGGTCCTCAGGCCAATTTATACCCCTACCCCAACAAAACCATGGGGGTACTTTAATACCACTCAATAAAAAAAATACTAATGCATATCAGATATTCATTGTGTTATAGTTGGTAGGGCATGCCATGTTCAGTCAGTGCCAGAAATTTCCAATCTCTGACTTAAATGGTTACCATGGAAACAGTATTTATATTTCACAATCTTCTCAATTTGACCCCGTCCCAAATGTGTCCTTTAGTTCTCAAAGTGAAATATTTGCAAATCTGTTTGGATTTTGTGGCTGCTACTTTGTCAAAAGTTGAATTAATATTTATGTATTCACACCAAAGCACTAAAAACTTGATATAATGATCCAATAATTTAATAATATTTATATCACATGTAGTCACAGACAACTGCTTTAAGGGAAAAGTCGGCGTGGCGCTTTTTGGTACTTGTATAATTGCATCATTGCATTGATACAATTGCAGCATTAAATGATAAATACATATTACACTAACAACAATTGACATTTAATTTGCATCTACTAACATTGTGTAACATTGTAATATGTTCATTATAATTATTAGATACTTTAAATATTTTATATAAGTGTTATCATGACCTTTCATCAATGGTCAGATTAACTTTTAGACTTCTAGAGGTCCTTAGTCTTTTTAGTTTGTCAAAGTCGTATTCATTGACTTGTACCTAGAATATGAATGGTTCCATTGATCAAGAGGTATGAGTTAAAATTGATTAATACATTTGTCAGGGTTAGAGCCATTTTATGCAATTGAAAAGTAATGGACCGTTCTATCCTTTGAGTATGATGTTATCTCATGCTGGTGTGATTTGCATACTAGTAACAGTTATGACTTGGATTAAGTTATATGAACTCATTTATCATAAAACAACCCTTCACTAGTATCTCTCATAATACACTGTGGCTAGTCGATCTATGTGGATGCAGTCATTTATATGTAATGTATCGTGGGTACTCGCGTACATTATAGGGAATGGGATCATTGCAAAAATATGACAGCAAATCGAGGTAAGTGATCTCAGAGTTTCTACTTAACATTGTGACTTGAAATCTTGCATACATATTCAATATACATAGTATGACAATGTGTGAAATTTTCAGCTACCATATTCCTGTTATAGAGAAGATATTTGAAAAACATTTCGTAAACGTCAACATATATGTATAAAATGGATGCACCTATGTATCATTTGGATTTAGAACGGTAACAAATGGATGCTTTAATGAATTATACTTTTATCATGATGATTTATTTACTGATGGACAACTGGCCAGATTTTCTTTGTATACATTGTTCTGATAAACATTCCTTACTCATTAAAGTAATTAGCCACCCCATTACAAGTAGTCTAAAGACACCCTCATGAAAAATTGAAAATACTATATATAAACCCATCAACTGGAAAATGCCATTACAGATGAAATAAAGGACCCACGGTCCTGCTCACACAGTGTAGAACCTTCAGAGGAATGTATACCCTGATGTTCAAACAAAAGAATTGGTAAATATGAGATCAATGAAAGATGAGTCCTTTTTTTTGTTGTTGGTTCAGATATGATTTGTTGTAGTCAAAGGAAAAACTATGAATTTAACCTAGATTTTGACCTAGGCCTTTTAGTGTCCAAATTTTGAAGGAAAGTAGATTTTGAGGACGGCTTCTTTTGTAGATTCTTATTAAGTTGGCAGCATCCAAGCTGTATCTAGTGTTGTGTTGTTACAATTGATAATTTTCTCAAGCCCCATTGACTTAACATGGGATACCAAAATAGCGATTTTTGAGATTTCAAAATGCCATAACTTCCGAACCGAAAGTCGGATCAAAATCTGGTTTGCAGATTCGGATTCTTTGGACAATTCTACACATATTTCATAACTCATACATTGAATTCCAAGAAGTTTTTATTGTGACCTACTTTTCGGATGCCATATCTCAAAAACGGTAAGAGTGATCAAAAACAACTTGCCTGTAGGGATTAGCTTTTTTCCAAGGAACATGATTAAAAAACGGAGCAAAAATATTGAAGGACGACTGAGAAAATTGAAAAAATGACAAAGTACTGGATTTGACCTTTGACCTAGATAAAACCTGATTAGACCTATATCTGGACTTGGACCTGAACTGGACCTTGACTTCGACCTGGACTTGGACCTGGAAATGGACCGGACTGGTATTTGTTCAATCTTTTCTTCACTTCTCTTGACTTTCTATAAGGCTATCATCAGATCGATTTTTCTCGAAATTTAAAATTCAGCAATTTCTCGGAAACCGGGCGAACTTGGGAAATGGCGATGATAGGTCAAATAGACATTATGGATATGCATAAAATTAATGTGAAAATGACTCAATCCGAATGGCAGTTTTAATTTGTGCAGCAAATGTTGACAGACGGACGGACCAACGGACGGACGGACGGACCAATGGAAGGACGCCTGGTCGATCCCATAGGCTTACTGTGTGAGCCAAAAACTATGGTTTTATCGCTAATACTGTTAATTTGAAAAACGGGTCCATAACATGTAATGATGACAATGAAAATGTTGAAATTAGGTACGCCAATGAAGTGAATTCAGAGCAAACGACCCATCGACCCACTGGAATACCCACAAATCAAGTTTCATAGCCTTGCCCAAGTCGGTCTCTTTTACTTATCTTGATTTCTATTATGACCACCTTGTACCTTAGAGAATTCGAAAGCCACGTGCTTTACCGACCCAATGTTTTTGTCGGTACAATTTGACAAATCAACGACGAGCCTACATTGCCGGACTAGGTCTTCATGCATTTCGAGAATTCAGTTTTGATTTTGAATCAACATTGAATTGCATGATTTCATTTAGACGAGTATTAATGACTGCTTACATTCCAATGTACATTTAATAACATAATATATTGTAACTCTCAAGAAACACTCGATCAGATCATTGAATTTCAAGTCCTAGATGGGTAGTTTGCTTTTTTTATGCAGGTCAACCTGATAACGTTTTGATTGGTCAATCAGCCTGAAGTTACACGTTGTGTCCATGTCCATATTGTCAATCAATATGGTTTTGCGATACCATTAGGTAGCCTAGGTATTATGGGAATCTCGAAACCGCTGAATAACTTAGCATAATATCAGCGATGTTGCATTGGATTGTTTAAGGTTGTAATAATTCAAGATCAGATAAGTAAATAAATACCGACTTGGGCAAGGCTACAAGTTTCAGAGCCATTAACATTCCTTGAAAGTGACAATGAGCAGCCAACAGATGGACCATCCGTAAATCTTGATGATTTTGTCAGCTCAGCTGAACGAGCCTCCAGATTCCTTGAAACTAATGACCATAATTCAAGAATAATATTATCTATTTACAATTTTTTGAAATCGTGGTAAGTGGAATCTTTCCAATTACCAATATAGCATTATTATTGTTTTTTGACACTGTGGATTAAAATATTAAAAATACACACATTCAAAATGATTCAATTGAAACCTAGCCCGTCTGTTCAATGAATCCAATCAGAACGTCTACTAATCCACATGATACATCATAATTAAATTGCTTTTTTAAAGCGGATATTTCATACCATAACCCCAAAAATATTATAGAACGCATTGTATTTGTAATTACTTCACACAGACATATTTGTGTATATGTGAAATAATTATATTACTTGAATTTTTTATTCCCCATTACAAGGTAAACCTATGGCAAATTATACAGCCTTCTCACAGCTGTGAGCGAGATGATAAAACTGGTCGAGTGAACTCGTTTGAGTTATCTATTCTCCGTAAAAATATCAGAGAATGTGTGTTTATAGCGTAGCTTTGGTTTTATAAATCAATGAAGTATGATATACACGGATGAGTAAATATAGATTATTTAAACAGAAGAGCAAAATTCTTCCATTGAAAAGTACAGAGGCGGGTACTCATGAAACATTACATGTGCCTGACTGCATCCTCATAGATCGACTAGCCACAGTGTAATACCTCTAATTCATCTTCATATTCATGGCCTTAATCGAGAAGGAGGGAGGGGTTACAAACAGAGGGCAATGACAATTTGTAACAGAGCAAGGACACTGATCAGCACCAAGCGAAGGCAACGGTTCAACGATATCTCACTCCGCTTTAAAAGGGAAGGTAATACTTACTAGTAAAGGGGATGTAGTAAACATAAATAAATGATAGGTGAAATGTTATGCCCTGCCTTAATACATAACTAAGATTTCTTATTTTCTCGGATAAATGGTGTCTCACAATTGACTAACTGATTCTATTATCAATACATCAACATCAGGTAATGCATGATCTATCCAATGGATTAAAGATAATACTTGATTCTAATATGGCAAAATAAATCATTCCATGTATGAATTGCATAGTGCATCATTTTGCAGATATTATATGATGCATTCATTGACTCATGGTTAACAAGGTACGGGTATAACTCCTTTTAGTATTTCGCAAAATCGCCTGGCCATGGGAAAACCGGTCTTATCACAAAAATTAAAATTGTGCTACAGAGCCAAAAATGTGCTCACTATTAAGAGGAAAATGTGCTAAATTCAAATCCGTCTTTTGGTCT